AACATTTGGTTGTTCATATAAAGTAAAACACATTAAGTACTTTTGCTTAAAAATTTTTATGTATTTTTAACTATAACTTGGTTACTCTGGCTTGTAAGTTTGGTTCATCACTCATTATTCTTAATCCTGAACTCTCAAATAAAGTTTGCCATGATTATGCTTTACTCATTACAAATCAGATGATTATATATAACGTCATGTCGAGTTAGTAGTAGCTGTATGCTTGTAACTCTTACACTCAGCTGTAATCCATTCCATTGACTCCATCCATTGTTTCTAGAAAAATGCAGATCTGATTGTAATACTCATTACAAGTGACTGTGGTGTTTTCTTCTTCCTAGGAGTCAAACTGACCCTATCAGCTTTAGTCGATGGAAAGAACTTCAATGCAGGAGGTCACAAGGTTGGGTTGGGATTTGAACTAGAAGCTTAATATGGTTTTGAATAAAGCATCAGATTTGTCCCTGAAGGTGAAGAGAAATGAACCCACTATGTTTTGGCCTTAAAATTCTTCTCTGAAATTTCAAAAGTGTGAACTTTTTATTCTTCCAAAGAATTGTAGTCCTCCCCATGCTGAAGTCTAGAGATCACAAGTCCATCCTAAGGGAGGTGCTTGAAGGCATGCCTGGAAGTTGTCATGTTTGTGCCACATTTCAGTTCCACAGTATTGTTTTAAATGCGTTCCTCAGCAACAGTGTAGGGTCATGTTATAAAGGAAATGACCCGATCCTCCAGTTTGTACATCATGTCCTGCATGTTCCACACCTCTTTTTCATAACCTGTTAATATATTGGTCTCTGTGCTGTAGTGGAATCTTTGGTTTTGCATCAGAGTAAAATAAAATAAACCCGTCACATTTGAAAATAATCGCTCATCTGACTTGCTAGTGGTGGTTTTCGTACATTTGGTGTGATTTGCTTCGAAAAATACTCTCAGGTGGGATTTATGCCTAAAGTGGTATGTCTGAAGTGTCAATCTGTTGCCAGCCCCTTTCACTTTGGTTTACCTCACTCTTACTGCTCCTCTGCAGTCAGACCAAGGAGTGAAACTGTGAGTTTTGTTCTGCTGGGCAGAAGCACGTCTCTTGATGTACTTGCTTTCCACTGCAGTGTGATAGAGTACATCAGATTGGTAGTTTTGTGGAGCTGCTGAGAAAGAGTGAGAGTGTGACTGGGCAAAAGATGAGCAAAGGAAAGAGTACAGTTGGAAATACTGTAGGGAAAAGAGTGGTAGGAGGCCAAAGCTGGAGGAGGGCGCGTCTATGGCTCCTCCCAGGCCTCAGGAAAACGTTTTTGATTACTAGGTCTAGAAAAATAAGCACCAAAGAATGGAAATACCAGTTTAGAAAAAAAATGAAGTAGATTGTGATATCTTCAACGCTTACTGGTAAATCGCTTTTCTTGCTAAAAATAGAACTTCTTTTGGAAAAAAAAAATTTAAACATAGATGCTGGTTGCAACCAATTCAGTCAGTTGAGAAGTAAATAAAAATGAAAATTGCCATTCCTCTCTCCAAACCCTATTTCTTCTATTACTGCTAACAGTTTGATATATATCCTTGCAGATATTTTTCAGTGTCTTTAGAGATTGCATACATATCTTATTTATATGATATTAAAGTGCACATCTTGTTTAAAAATACTTTTAAATTTAACAGATAGAGCCCTCTTTCTGTTTTTTCATATACAGCCTCATATTTTTTATGCTTTAGCATAAATGTGACATTATTTAGCTATTTTGTTTTGCTGCATTCTTTTTTACTTTACCGTGCTGCACTGAATATCTCTGTCTATTTATTTTTGTCCACTTCTGTGAATATTTCCATGGCAGCACTGCCAGAAAAACTTTCTGTGATGATGAAAAGGATCTGTCTGCACTCTCCCACGTGGTAGTCACTAGCCTCATGTAGCTGTCGAGCACTTGAAATGTAACCAGGTCAATGGAAGAACTCAACTTTTAAATTCTATTTCATTTTAGTTAATTTAAACTTAAATAGCCACATGTGGTGAGTGGCTGTTGTATTAAACAGTGCAGTTCTATAAGATAGATCTCTAGAAGTGAGACTGTTGAGTCACAGGGTGTATACACTTAAGTCGTACAAAAATTGCTTTTCAGAAAGTTTGTACCGATCTGTGCCAATGGTGGATAAGAATGCCCATTTCCCCACATTCTCAGTGACATTGAGTGTTACCAAACTTTAACATTTTTATCAGTTTTAGAGGTGAAAAATGGTATCTTGTTTTAATTTGAATTTCCCTAATTGCTAGAGAACTGGAGCTGTTTTCATATGTTTACTGATCATTTATAATTCTCTGATTTGCTTGTCAAATTCCTTGATCAATTTCCAAAAACAACTAGGCACAGTTGGTTTTTAAAAAAATTTCAGTGCTGCAAGGATTTCCCCCTACCACCGCAAAAGATTATCTTTACTAGAACCCACATTCTAACCACCACTCTGTCCGAAAATATCTGTTACCAGTCACTCTGGTAGAATTTTCTTATTGTCTTTGTGGGTTTAACCGCCATTACTGGAGATAAAGTATAACAGGAAAGGAAAAGGGAGTGAGGGGGGTAAGCAACAAATTGTCTTGTTGGTACCTGCGTTTAGTTAACTCTGTATCTACTGGAAGAACTTGATATACAGCATGAGTGTGGATGGGAGGCTGAGGTGGGCTGACGGGTGCTGCACATGGGGATTTCTTTATGGTCTGGAGAGGAGGAATAAGCCATGTGAGTCGGCAGCTAACTGCTGTGTGTTAGAGAGGAGTGTTGCTGTGGGGCGTTTTCTCTTTAGCCTAGTGTTGTTCAGGGTAGAGGCTAGACACGAGGGCAGGGGGGCATAAGGAAATACAAGGAAACACTGAATGAGATGCACCTCTAATTAATTTATCTGATGAAGGTAGTTGTATTTATGGCCTGAATTAAATGAGAAGGAGATTGCTATAAGTTGGTGTTTCTCCTTTCTTATGCTATCCCTTTCAAGTGATGTTACTGCACAGCTAAAGAGCCAAATATTGTGTGTTAATGCAGTAATGAACATAGGTAGTTTAAATTCAACCTTGATTCAGTAGTTTTATTGAACCATGGCTGGGTGTCCTAAGTACCCTAATCATTGTGGGAGTCATTACGGTGTAGCAGGAAGGGAAGCACATTTCTTAGCTTATGTGCTAGGTAGGTACTGTGCTGGTCTTATATAATCTGATGCTCACAACAGTAACTGCAAACATCTCATAGTCCAGTAGTCTAGTAAGAGGTATCCTAGGATGGAGCGGTTCCTTGTGCTTTCTCATAATGGAAATCTCGATAGCTGCATCTCCCCCATAAAATGCACGCAAGCACCTGCTCCCCCAGCTTTCTCCTCCTTATCTGTTCTCCTCCCAGTCCCATTTTTCCCCACTTTAGCCTCATAACTCCTATGGCCATTCACTTGATTTTATTTAATTTTTTAAATTGATTCAAGACACTGCTAGGCTCTTCAGTCTTGCCTTTGAGCTTACTCTCAAGATATATTGCCTTCACGACAGTCTAAGAGCTTTGTACTTGGGGGCAGAAAACCAACATTCTAGTATATTTGTGTTTAATGCCAGTGGATTTATTGACTCCACTTCTAGGAGTTGGCTTTAAGGAAATCCTCAGAGGATTTCCAAAGGTTTATGTAGAAGGTTTCTCATAATAGAGAAAAATTACAGCCATCCAAATGTGCAAAAAATAGGAGAATGGTTAAATGATGGTATGTATGTATATTCATTAAGTGGAATATTATTCAGCCATTAAAAATCATGTTTTTGAAGAATAATAACTATTGAGGATTGTTCACAATATGTTAAATAGAAAATAAACTAAAAAATTAATCTCAATTTTGTTTTTTTAAAAAGTACATATATATACTGGGGAAATGCTCAAAAATACTAGCGTTTATTAACTTGGGAAGGTGGAGTCATAAGTAATTTTTAGGTTTTTTTTTTAATTGGGCAAGTGGGGGATGGGAACAGCGCTGGGGAATTGGGGGAAGGGGAACAGACAAGTTGCTGTCCTTTTGTTCTTCAGTCTAGTTGTGGAGGACGTTGCTTCACTGGCCCAAGTTGGCACCATCATTGCACTCTTCCCGGGCGAGGCAGATCAGTCACCAGCTTCTGGACGGCCGCTCACAGCAGCTGCTGGCTACACATGGTAGCCCATGGCAGCCTACTACAGCCCCACTGCAGCCTACGCCATTGCCGGCAACTCACGGCAGCCCAGCGCCAGGTCAAACTGTTGTTCAGCATCTTAGCTGTAGAGGGCAGTGTCACTGGCCCTTATGTGTGGGATCTGAACCAGGGCCCTCTGGTGTCCCAAGCCAGCTCTTAACCAATGCGCCACTCGGCCAGCTCAGTAATTTTTATTTATTTTATACTTAACTATATTTTTCTGGTTTTCTAAAGTGAATTTCTTATTTCTGTCATTAGGGAAAACTCTTCTAATTAGTATTATTGTTTGAAAAAGGCAGTGTGCCCCTGCAGCAGCACAGTAGGCAGCACATATAATTGGTGGAGTGTTTGTGGCTCCGCAGATGATGTGCCCACTAGTCCAAGGAGGCAGCGAGTTCCGTCATTGGCCAAGGCGAGGACACCAGTGGTTCCTGCCCACCACCCTTAGAAAAGTTACCCACGTAGATTGTTCAGAGCACTGGTGTCGCTTGTGATAGATAAGTAACTAATAGGATGAGGTTTTTATTAAATTTTGTAATAACAGATTAAAGTTCACACGTCATACTTTATGAATTACTGCAAGAGACCAGGAGGATGTCACGATGTATTGCTAATCCGTCGTTACACTCTGAGCCCCACTGCTCAAGGGACGGGGACAATAAATGTCCCAACGTTTTATTAAGTTATTAAATGTCTGTCCTTTGGAGCTCTGCCAGCTTGGCCAAGCCTCAGGTTCCAGAACCTTGGACAGCAGGAGCCGAAGCTATTTCTGGGCCACCCTGCAGCACACACACACACACACACACACACACACACACACACACACACACGATTGCTGTGTTCTGCACACGAAGGCTCTCCTTCCCTTTGAGGCTAGAGCCTCGGACTACACTTGCTTTATTTCCTCTGATTTAGTTCCTTCTGCTTCTTTCCCTTTAGAAACAAGTCCCCTTTTTCTTTTGCCTTCCACTTAAATGTTGACACTCAGGTTCTATCCTCAACCTTCTCTAACTCTACACCCTGGTGATTTTTTGTAAGGAGCTTTTTCAAATTGCACCAGCCTGTCCTTAGAGACCTTCTCAGAATAAAGGTGGTCTGATAATAGCACCATTCTTCCTCACTCAGATTTTAAACAAATTGCCACTTAGGACAAGGTGTCAGTGGTTAGGGGCCAAAGGCTTCTTCATTTTTACCATTGACGGCCCCTTGTACTATTGCTCGGGGTAAGTGACAGCATTGATGGGCCACGGCAGGCCTCCCCTCCTGCCCAGCTTGGGTGGTGTGGAGGAGAGGGGAAATCTTGTGCTCTGAGGTCAGTCTATCAAGAGGAAGACAGGAGGAACTGACTCCTCCGTGCCCATTTCCTTTTCCCTAAACGTACCAATCGGATGCACTCCTTTCCTCTGGTGGAGGGACTGAAAGGGAGAGAGACCAGAGTATGGGGCACAGCTTCCATAGTATGTGTGGGTTTTTTTTGGTTTTTGTTTTTTTTTATGAATAAGTTTAGTTTCATTTTCCTTGACAGCTGCTGAACTGTGGAGCCAGGCTCCCCCGGTAAGGCAGCGTGTGGTGCCTTGTATCTGCCTCCTGAAGTTGTTTACCATCTCTAGAAGGCTCAACTTCTGGAGAAGCTGGAGATATGTTAAGAAGGGTATGTTCCTGGGATGAGCGATTTGGAGCCCAGGCTGATGCCATCAGATACACTGAATTTATTTCTTGGTCCATCCTGTTCTGGTTTCAGAGAAGTAAGACAGTTGTTAGTGAGGTTCGTGCCATTTGGTGTAGTTTCTGTACCATGAACTCCCTCATCACAGAGATCTCGTTCCTGGTCTTGTTTCTGTTCTAAGGGCTCATCAAGTTGTCTTTTTTCTCTGGACATGGAATCTAGATCTTGACTTTTAAACCAAATTTGGACTCTTGACCTTGAAACCCCGATTTCCACAGCGAGTTGCTCTGTGGAATCAATTACAGGATGGGGGATGTTGGTAGGTGGCTGTGATGAGGGTAAGCAGGAGGAAGTGTAGCGAGTACGACAGCATCTATTTTCTCTACTATGAGTCTTCTCTTCAGGGTGATCCTGGGCTTGGCTTGCTTCTAAGTCCTTCTCAAGTTCTGACCTTGTCTGAACTTGGTGCCTAGCTCTTCGATTCTGAAACCAAATCTGGATTCTAGGCTCTTCAGTGTTGATTTCTAAAGCAAGCTTTTGTTTGGTCCGAGAACTTGGGTAAGGTTTTGGATTGAATGCTTTGATGAGGATTTTCAACTGGTCTGTGGATTTAGTGGGCTTCGTCTATGATTCCTTGTTGTGGTCTTGTTTGGAGAGTTCTACTGGGCCATGTTGGAATAGAATCCTGAAGCCTTCAACCAGGCTACCAGTATGTGTGCTTTTAAGCCATAGCCAATCTCTGCCTCCTCCCAGAGATACGGCTTGTCACCTAGGAAATACATCCAGATCTTAAGGGAGGGGTGAGCGGCGTATGTGCTTCAACACATCTTCCTGGTGATTCTCATATACCCATTCTGCTCAGCCTTTGAACACCACTACCGTTGTCTTCCTGGACAGCTACCTCCAAAAAGCTAACTACTCCCAAAGCTACTCCATCTCAGAAGACTCTCCTGACCTCCAAAGCTTTACTGCCAGCTGCCTGTCAGTATGGCAGGCCTCTTCTTGGATATTCTGCAGGCACCTAAGACTCACCATTTCCCAATCTAAACCCATGCTCTCTCTGTCTACTTTGCACTTGCCAGATTTCTGCCTCTTCTGTGAAAGCTTCCCTGATGACCTCCCGAAGCCACTCATCGGCCCTCCCCTAGGGCTCCCCCCACTTTGTGGAAATACCTTCATGGTAGCAGCAACCACACTGTATTGCAATTTTGTTTATTCACCTTTGTCCCACTTTGCTTCCTGGGCCTCTGCCTATGAATTCCTAGAGGCCTTTTGGTCTTCCTACCTCCAGTGGCCTTCCAATGATAGGCACCCAGTGGAAGTTTGCTGAATGAATGAAAATGGGCCAGCCATCAAACAGGATGGCACGGTTTGGCTTCCAAGTCATGGGGATTTCTGCATACAGACTGAGTTCTCTTTGGGCAAGTACTCTAGTTTTCTATGGCCATCTAAGAAGCACAGATAATTCCTGACATTTCTAGCAACCCTCTGAATTATGGTGTAATTAACATTCTGTGAGGTGACTACTGCAATTTAAAAGTGTTCTGGAAAGATGGTCATAATTGCAATTACACTTGACCCCACTGGGTGCTGCTGTTGTCGCTGCCAGTGGCAGATCATGATGGTCCAGCTGTTGGGTCTCCCTTCTGCCTTTGAGGTCAGTTTATCCTTCCTTTTATCCTCCTCACTTCCCTTCCCAACACTTACCTACTCATGGTTTCGAATATCTACATGTAGGGTTTGATTTACTCTCTAAACGTTAAGCCTTGGGGAAAGGCAAGGAAATTCTCCACCCCACTCTGGCCCAAATCCCTTTTGCCCTGTTGAAGGTTTTGGTCTAGCCAGTGGAAATGGAGAACAGTTGATCACCCTTGTGTCTGAAACCCCTTACTTAAAATCAGATTTCATTCCTCATGTTTCCTTTATAAAGACAGAATAAACCTCATCCTTTCTTCCTAAGCTTTCTTTCCAAGTTCTTACTCACCTATCTGTTCCTTCTCTGAGTCTTCCTCCCAGGCCTACATACAGCTCAGCCCCCCTTTTTCTAGAGACCACAATGTGGACACAGCCTGACAGCTGCCGTTACGTTTGGCTGCCTAAACTTTTCCTCATTCTGTGCCTTAGTTCCCCAGCGCCTGGCCAGCTCCAGGTGTTTCAAAAGATGGTAGTGAGATGATGGAGTGGAGGTGACTTTTTTTCTTTTTTCAGAATATGCTTCAGGGTTTATTGTCGTTTCAGTAATAAATGATGATGTGCTAGAACAATACTTAATATTTTTAATATGGGCTGACAATCTAAGAATAGGGCTACATTTCCCCTTTATGGTAATTTAACCATATTCTACAGGTCTCACCAACACACACACCCCTTTTTTTTCACCCCACCAAACATGCAGAGAACCCATTTTCCACTTTCTTTTTAGTTCCTAGCTGTTTGGTCTCATTCATCTAACTTGTTTGTTTTTGTTCATCTAATTTAATGCTCTCCTTCAGGCAGTCCTCCAGAGGAGGACCATCCATAAAAAGGTCAGAAGTAACAACCCACCCACAAGGAAACCATACTTGTTTGTGGAACGCTCTTCTGGACCAGGCCTGGGATGGTCCCTTTCAGTACACTGTCCCCCAGCATTCCTTACAGCCCCGATATGGCCTCACTATCCTCATGCAAAGAACTGGAGCTAATAGGGTTAAGTGGCTGAAATCAGGCCAGTTCCAGCAGACTCCAGGCATCACCCTGTCAGGAGCACTTGAAGGCAATGGGCAAACCTGGTCTCCTCAGATGAGCCTCAGAGATACCTCATTTTGAGGACTTGACAAAACACATTGCTTCATCTCCCTGAAGTGCCCATTCTCCTGCCTCGCTGTGTAAATGAGTAAGCTCATCGATGCCACAGAGCTTTACATGTCACCATTTGCTGAACGATGGAGTGGTTTTTAATTTTTATTCTGGGGAGCATTTAAGATCTTGCTCCCTGGCATATGTCATCAGTTTGGCTCAAACAAAAATTGAAAACAAAATTTTTTTTTGTTCTACAGCTTATTCTGAGGAGATGGGAGGACTTATTTAAAAAACTATCTTGTTGAAAATGGATATTTTTACATATTTGCTCTAAAGGTCAGTCCTTTTGGAAAGGTATAAAATGAAGTAAAAGAACTTGGGTCTCTGGAGCTTAAGCGCCCTCTGACAGCCTGTGCTCCGTGCAGATGTCGCCGCTGTGAGAGGAGCCCGCCTGGGGAAGGCAGCTGTCTCCAGGGCGCTCCTGTGGGCTCCAGACAGCTCTGGCGCACAGCAGGGTGATCTCTGGTGACAAAAGCACAGTAAGATGCCAGGGACCCAGGAGTTAACCTTGTCCAGGAGTGTTTGCATTTTTAGAGGAAGAGGCTGATTAACTCAGAGGAGATTCCCAGGTGGCCTGGGCAGGGGAGCCCCCTACTAGTGTCCTCTCCCCCTTGGAGCTGACCTATCCTCTGCCTAAACTCACCTACCTGCCATGATGGGGAGGGGAAGGCAGAGCATCTGATAACAGAGGCTGGGGAGGGGTGCAGTGGACAAGGCCTCTCTGCATGTTGCTGGTGACATGGTTGGTGCTTAGTCATTCAAAGGCGCAGTGTGGGTGTGACCTTTGTCCCACTTTGCTTCCTGGGCCTCTGCCTCTGCCACGCTGGGTGCTGGGGCTGTGCCGGGGCTGAGATGGCAGGTCTTCTCCCAGGACACAGCTTGCAAAACTGGCACTCTGTCAGGCTGTTATTTTTCTTATAAATAAATGTAGAATGAAATTGAACTTATTGAATCTATGGTTTTATCAGAAGCAAAATGAAAGGCCATAAAATGCCATTTTAAATATTGGAAAGGGCAAATTTCTCTGTGGAGACGAACTTTTTACCCCTGGCCGGTGTTCCTCATGTCTTATCATCCTGGCTCTGGAAGGAGCTAGAGCTTGTGACTCTTGCTGTAGAGGCTGAAGGACTTTGCATCTGAAGCTCTAAGTTGGTTGTGTTTCTGTTTTGTTTTTGGCTGCTTAAGCCAAGAAGAAAGGCTGTTCATTTTCCTGCTAGGTCCCTAGCCCTGACGTCTGACCAACTTCAGAGTGACGTGGGAGAGGCTGGGCAGAGGTGAGATACTCCCTTTAACGGCATTCCTATTCAGGGACAAACCCTTGTTCATCAGAGACAGTTCATTCCTGAAGGATCAATGTGTGTAAGTTAGCACTGGGGATTTCTGGATGCTGAGCTGTGGGTCATTCTTTTTTTTGCTCATGTGTATTTGCTACACAAACATGTCATAGTAGTAAAATAAGGGGGAAAAGGGTATTTGAAAAATAGAAGTAACCAAATTATATAGCTCTTATATTTGTAGAAACTCTGAACAAAAAACATTATATAGGTATTTAGAAAAAGACTTAAGAGGCAAACTTTTCAGGGTATTTTTTATTATAAATTTAATATGGTTGATTAATGAAAAATCACAATGAAGTACCGAGAAAATGTCTGTCAATATAAAAATTTTAGCAGCATTTCCATAGTTTCAGGCTCTAACATTAGTCATACTTCTTCCCGCTATCAAAACAAGAATCCAATGGGACTACAGTAGAGCATCAAGATGTTCAGCTTAGTAAAGGCCTCAAGGAAATCCTCAAATCCAGTGTATTGTCTGGTATTTCAACCTCCCCGCTCCTGAATTTCTAGAATGTCAAAGCACTTGCCTCAGTGTTTGAGACAAGAATTCCTTTCTTCCAGCTGCAGGGGAGAATAGGAGTGAAAATATAAACTGGACTTGGTATGTAGTGCTTGATCATGTGTCCTTAACATCTATACATTCTCTACACTGACAATGAAGGGCCACTGCGGGGTTGACCAATGTCCGGAGGCAGGGGTGGGGGTAGGGGTAGGGGTGGATGGGGCGGGGAGCCCGGAGTGGGACATGGAACACACACGCGATGAGGGGTTGGTGCCTCACCACACGCACTTCTCAGGGGCAGCTCAGCACACAGTGGTCTTGGAACAAACCTCCCAGGTGAAAGATAGGATTAATGAGGAGGGGAGACAAACAATATGAAAATATAATACTGGCAAACTATTCCCCTGCTTCTTTGGTACTTTCCAAAATTCTCTGATCAAAAAGTATAAGGGAAGCACACCATTAAAAAATTACAGTTTTGAGTATTTACAGAAGCAATTATGATATATTACAGTATATGAACAAATTCTTCAGTGAAAGCACTTGTGAACTGTTCCAGTATTCTTCACTAGCACTCGGACACACGTACACCTTCCCAAATTTGTATCATCCATCCTGCATCTCACCTATCTTACAGTAAATTAAATGGGAAAAATATCTTCCAATCTACACTCCTTTTAAAAGGTTCTTAAAATTTGCTGCTGAAATCATTATGTACAAAGATTTGTTGAATATTGAATTCTAGACACTTATCTCCACTCCCAATCTGAGTATGTTTGAAATATGCTACCTATTCTATGTATACAATATATATTTAATATATAAGTAACTGCACCACGTTATATCACCACGACACCAGATGAATGCACATTATTATGTACAGTAGTTAAGTTAGCTCTGGAGGATGACTACCGCCTAGGTGGACAGTGTGGTTTGGAACCGTCTGAACGGGCATGGAGAAGCTGGTGGGAAGACAGCCCGGGCACGGGCAGGACAAGTGCATGTGTATGAAATGTGGGCACATGCCTCCCACACATCCCCACACCAGACTATCCCTTGTTTACTGGTGGGAAGATGACATGTCACACATATGGAAGGATCCCATACATGAGGAGAGCCATGACAGCAGCACTGAACAGCCCCGCCACGGGGACAGTCACAAACCAGGCCACAAAGATGTTGCGGAAGAGGCGCCAGTCCACGGCCTTCCGGGAGCGGATCCAGCCCACGGCCACCACGGAGCCCACCTGCAGGAGCACAGACATTTTAAAGTAAAAAGAGGCCTGCAAATTTAAAGGTGAGACACAAAATCGACATTGAACTGATGTAGAGTGTCTAATCTCAGACTACATTATAAAATTACCAATTCTTTCTCCTAAACTTACTAGAAGCTTTTACAATCGTTTATAGATTTTAGATATAGTTGTTTTAGGACTATTCTATTCAGTATACAGATCTGGTGCACTTTTCCACCTATATTCTGCTCTATTTGAGTGGAAGTTTAGCCAATTAACTGTTGTCTGTTCTCTCTGCACCTTATAAACTGTGAATGCCCCTGGTTTAAATATTCCCCATGTAGGATATTGCTTATGACAGTATGTGAAACTGCCATAGTGAAATAGCAATAATGTATCCTTTTAGAATGTCAGCATCATAAAATGTTGGAGCTGGAGAAGACCTTTGAGAATATGAGACCAGGTGGCTGATTTTCCAGAGGACAGAGCAGAGCCCTGCAAGGCTCAGGGATACTGAGGAGAGGAGACACTGTAAATCACGGCAGATTGAGGACTAGAACTCAGGCCCCTGGACCACAAACTGGTTTTCACCATCATCTCAAACTACCTTACAGTCCTTGTACTTTAGCTAATTAAAAATATAAACTGGAGCATAAATGTTATTGGATCAAAACTGTCACTCATACCTCACAAATGACAGAGATACAGAATAGTAACACTAATTCAACCATTTTTCTAAACACTTGCAGTTCATTTTATGGTTTGTTGAAAGTTTAAAAAGGAAAACAGACACTTTAAGCTAGAAATCATAAGGAAGTACAGTGCCCATCCATCTGACACCTGGTGCAGGCCCTCGGGAAGCTCAGAGTTCCACAGGGCACCAGGGCCACTTATGGCTCTTGAAGAGCCCCACAAAACTAGCTTTGTCTCTCCTGACTCTCAAATACTTCAGAATCAGCATTGGCGACTGAGGTTCAAATAGCAACTAGGGTATAACCACAAAAAAATAAAACCCAACACTTTAAATTGCTTATGGAAGCAAACGGGAACACCAAAAACAGCAGCATATTTAAAGGCGGTTAATCTGACATTTGGTCAACCCATGCCATCAAGTCCCCAACACTAGCTTCTGAGATTAAATTCTTCCTGTTACTCATTGTCTCCCCAGAGCATGTCCCCTTCAGTGAACTTTCAGCTGTGCTGGGTTATTTCACGGAGAGCACGCTCAAATTTCAGTTTTATCTATGCTCTCTTACCTTCTTTGAACAGTTTTTGAAAAGCATAAAGGTAATAATATTATAGCAAGTTTATGTAATAGGGATGGACAATCACCCAGAACCCAACTATTTATTTATTCCTTTTTAGTATTTTAATAAATATACCTTTATTTGTAAATAATAAGGTACTCTACTAATTCCTTTGTTAAAAAAAGTTAACATTAGGGCTGGCCGAGTGGCTCAGTTGGTTAAGAGCTCACTCGAGTGCGAGCTCTGAGCAACTAGGGGTTCAAGTCCCGGCCCGAGCTGAGTTGCCGCTGAGGTGCCAACAGGTGGCAGGATGGCTCAGCTAAAAAAAAAAAAAATTAACATTATATTATAAGCATCTTTCCATAGTGCTCACAGCCTTTATGATTATCATGTAAAATGGTACATGCTTTAGGTGGATGGATGTACCTTAATTTATTTAACCATTTCCAATTTGTTTCCAATTTTTCCTTATTAGAAACAGTTTCATGATTAACAAATTCACTCACATAGCTTGTATTTAGGCTTTAAAAATATTCCCTGAAATGGATTATAAATTAGAGATGGCATTTAAAAAACACCCTGAAATAATCCAGAACTGAGAGAAAAGATGCAAGAACTTCCATATGCCCTTTACCCAAATTCACCAATATTTAACATTTTGCCACAATCTATGAAGGAACGTTTTTATATGATTAAAATAGCCTGCTCCTCAGCAACCTACCCCACCCCTTCTGCTAAAGATTTAACAATCCAATCTTTATTGCAATAGTTGCAAAATGGTGATTTCCCATGCGTCAGATGGAATGTTACTTTTTGCTTTTCAGGTGAGAAGAATTGTTCTTCCCAACTTTTGCCCACCTTCTAATGGAGGTGGTTCTAAGCAAGAAACCTGACAAGTAAATGTGAGAGGAAGCAGAGAGCTAGAAAAATCAAATACAGGGTATAATTATTCCTGAAAATCTAATGGGATTGTTACGATTGTATGTAGACATTAACGCCCTTTGAATTGTCCATATTTGTGGCTTTGCTCACATAGGGCCTCATTCACGCCATCCCCATCTCTCAAATTTCACCCCACACTTGCCACTTGGGACTGTTGTACGCAGAAGAAATGTGGTATAAGAGAGCAAGGGTTATGGGATGATGGCGACAGTGAACTGTTCCTAGCACTCCCATTATCCGGACTTCAATGAGCGTCACTTGCTCTGTTTGCCCATGGAAAGGTCTGGAGAGCCACGATTCTGACATTGAGCTGCTATGACCAGTTCTGGGCTTTGCCTGGAAGTCCATGACATTGGACAAGCTGACTGGAATCCAAGTTGGGCTCTGTCTCAAGTCTGTTTGACAAATGACACCCACTGGGGTCCCGTGTTAAGGAGACTGGTTTTAAATGCCAACAAGCTATCCTGACACTAATCAACAGCTCTAAGGAAACAAAACCTATCACATAATTTGTATAGAGGTTTTAGGGCAGTGATAACATATACATATATTCAACTAAGGTCCTGTACAAACTGCATATCAATCCCTTAATACCACCTCCTTATTATAATATAAATCTAAACTCTGGGGGAAATGACATTTAAAGATAAAAATATAAGAGGGTAGTTTTTATAGGCATTTTATACTTTTCATCTATTTCTATAAGTTGTATTATAGAGTTTAGTGTTACAGTTATGCCACTTTACACATTGGTATAGGTTAGATTGCCAATGTAGTTCGTTAAGTAACAATAATCTAGAAAAACCAAACTTGTGTTGTTTTTTCCAAAGATCTCTTTCAGCTGGTGTGAAAGAGTTTGCTTTCACTAGGCTTGCTCACATGCAGGGTTAATCATGAAAAAGACAGCATAACATTTATTTCAAAGCAAGCCCCAAAGACTGGTTACCACTGCAGAACTGTTCAAAGCCTATTTCTCCGGGAAGGAGTATATTTAGTAGCACACGTTTCCTCTAGGCTCCCACACGTCACAGTGAGTTCAAGCTGAGGTGGCGTGAGCGGGGAGATGATCTTTTCATCCCATATAGTATTGTACTGTTTGAAATGTTTCAGAGGGCATGTGCTTTTGTAATTTTTAAAGAAATGAAATTAGAAAAATAACAGTAAATGCACAGTAGGAGCGGCAGGAGCACACTGCACTTCTTCTTTGTACTTGTGAGGCCGTGGCCAGCGTGCTGGGGGGCCGGGCTCTGGGCCACAGTGTGCTGGCACTTGGTTTGGCCCCTCGCTAGTTGTGTGATCTTGGGCAAGTTACCCAGCCTTTCTATGCTTCAGTTTCCTCATTGGTAAAACGGGGGTGACATTAGCACTCACCTCAAATGGTTCTTGGGAGGATTAAACAAGTTGATATTCACAGTGCATTTAAAACAGTGCCCAGCAGACAGCACTTGCTCTACACAACTTAGCTGGGGCCGGTTACCATAATTATGATTGTTATGACTACAACTAGGAGGTACAGAGCATGAGGTGAAGGTCTGAATCCTGGTGCTATCACATGATGAATGTATGATCTTGGGAAAATGACCTAACTCTGGAAGCCTCAGTTTTCTCATCTGTAAATTGGGAATAACAGCACAAACATTATGGAGTTACTAAAATGACGTATGGCGTAGGTATGATGCCCTAAACGCAGTGCCTGGCCCTCTGTACACACTCAGTAAGTGGAAGTAAATTTTTACAATGAAATTTTTATAATGAAAATTTGTGGAAATTGAAGTTTTTCTACATTCTGTAGCAAAAAAGAAAACCAAAAAACCCTTTTTCCAGTGAGGTTGATTCTCCACGCTGTAGAGCTCTAGCTTGGTCAGCTGGCCCACTGAAAATACTCTCATAAACGCTGCCTGGCCTTAATATCTGAAGCACTAAGCCATTCTCATTTAGTGATGTGTCTATAAACACATCGGTTGGAGTTTTAGAATTGTGCGTGTAAATGTAGGTGGTTGCCCTGTCTTGGTCACTGCGGTACCCCCTGGTGCCTAGGACAGTACCTCACACACAGCAGGGACACATGAGTTTTTCTTGAATGATATGGACAAATAAATCTAGGAAAAGTCTGGAGCTGCCTTTTGCTTTGTTGAAGTTAGTGAATATTTTTATCTATTGAAGGTGTTCTGGACTCTCTCCAGACACTGGGCAGACCTGCGTCATCAGACCTGGGTTCTAGTTCTGGCTCCACCCTGAGTGACCTCAGATAACTCCCTGAAACTCACAGGGCCTGTAGCCTCTTCTTTAATCTTTAAGGTTCCTTACAGCTCCAACATTCCCCCACTCCAACAAGGAATTCCCTCTTGCCCAGCCCTGAGTTTCAGAGCACTTTGCAGTGAGCAATATTAGGCATTTCCCCCTCACTTGGAATTTACTCTAAGGCAATACAGTCATTTTGACTATCATATAAGTAAAAAGAACTGAAACAACTGTGTCTTACAATTCCATTGAGATGATTCCTGCTTATCTCTAGTTCCACTGTCACTCCCAGTCCCCTGCAATGGGTTGGAACTGAGTGGCATGCCCCCATTTGAGCCTATGAATATGGTTAGCGCACACATGACTTCAATGCAAAATCCACTGTGGAAACAATGAGAGAGAAACAGGACAAATGGAAAGAGTGAAGCACACATCAAAGGAGGTAAAGCTCTTGCCAGGCATGCATTGAACAAGACGTCTGTATGACAGAAGGTGTCACACTGCTGAGCAGGAAAGGTAGAGAGGGACAGTCTGAGAAAAGCAAACGCCCCCATCCAGCAATGTTCCAGCAGACCCAGCAAACCCTGAGATGATTTTTTTCCCCCACAAACAACCATATACAAAGCGCGACCAGCTTTTCTCAGATTCACTTGGTGACTCTGGGCTGATCCTAGCAGCCTGATGAAAGGACGGTGCTGGCAGGGGCCTACCTTGCAGTGTGTGGTGCTGACAGGAAGTCCAATGTTGGAAGCGATCACCACTGTGAATGCTGAGGCCAGTTCAATAGTGAAGCCGCTGTGGAGGGAGCACAAGAGACACATCACAGGCGCTCTTTGTATCAGCCTCACTGACACCCCAGGGGCGCCAAAGTCTCACTAGAACATTCTTTGAATCGACTGTTGACTGCTGACTGGGCCAGATGACATTAATAGAACAAGAAACTGCTGTATAATGGCAACAATTCACACTAAGGCTTTGCGTTATACTGTTAACAACCCTAAATAGCCTTGTTTTTCTGGTATGTTTTCAAAAACCACACACTGTAGTAACTGGGTCAGAAATTCCTGCTGTGTAAAAAATGGTAACTAAGTCATTTCTAAAGTGGTGTAGGAAACACCATACTGTCATTTTAAAATGTATATTTATTACAAAAAAGTTAATTTTTTCTCAGATTCTAATTTTTCTTCAAATCAATCTTATAAAAGAATTATTACAATTAATTTCAAGAGGGAAAAGATTTCTTACACTAGGTAGTTCCAAGTTTCAGTTGTATTCTTCCAAAGTTCTCCTGTAAATTTGTTATTTAACACCTAATCTAGCTGACGGATATACAATAGAAGGACGGCAGAGAAAACCAGGAGGGAGAGTCACCAGATCCCACCTTGGAGGGCAGAGGCACCCTCCCGAATGCAAAGTAACCTCAGGAGGGTGGCAGGTGACAGCTGCTTCCATCCAGCAGATGGAGCTGGTGTGGCAGAGAATTTTCGGGAAAGGCAGGCCTTGGGCCATGGCTGTAGTTTGCATCCTGTCCCTCCCAAATTGCTCTCCAGAGCTCACACTGGGTAAGACCACCATTGGGCGTGGAAGGGGGCTGCAGGTTGGGTTCCTTTTTCTGTTCCCTCTTGCCCTGTTGCAGCTTCTCCTTCTGTCTTCCCACCTCTCTCATTTTCCCTCCCTCTGAGGAGTACATGAGGGAGGGCGGTGATGGGTGGCCAGCGAAGGTGGGGCTTTCTTGCCCTCTGCCCCCTCCTCACTGTGACCTCCAGCCGCAGAGTGGCTGTGCTAAGGGGGTCAGGGCATAAGAGCAGCATGAGAGGACTGTCAGACATATCAACTCTGCGCAGGCCTCCAAGGACCAGCCCTGTCAATCCAGCCTGCACCCTCTGGCTTACCTGGACGGTGTGATGGGAGTGAGGTCTTTCCCCATGGTCTGGATCACTCTTCTCCCCCAAACCCAGAGCCCTGTACAAATTCCAGCTCCTCCATAAAACAGCAGCCAGATGGGGGTAGCTGCTTCTTGCAGGACTGCACCTTGTTCATAAATCAGCCACAAAGCTACCAGGGGACCAATGGCATTACTGGGAGAATAAAAAAAGTAGATGAATTGTACAAACATTGTACATACAAATGGCGCCATATACAATGCAGTGATTTCTCAGTCTTGAGAATAGCTGATCTTACTGTATTTGTGGCTTGCTTATATAATCTATTGGTGATACAAATGGTTTATTAATTTTTTTGTGGTGGTAAAAAAAATAACAGAAAATTTACCACCTTAGTCATTTTTAAGTGCACAGTATTGTTAAATATGTTCACATTGTTGTGAAACAGATCTCCAGAAGTTTTTCATCCTGCAAATCTGAAACTCTAGCCATTAAACAGTAATTCCCTTTGCCCCCCGTCCCCAGCCTCCGGTAACTACCACTTGGCTTTCTGTTTCTATGAATCTGACTACTTTAGGTACCTCATTTAAGTGAAATTATATAGCATTTGTCTTTTGAGATTGGCTTATTTCATGTAGCACAATGTCCTCAAGATTCATCCATGTTGTAGCACGTGCCAGAGCTTCCTTCCTTTTTAAGGCTGAGTGTTCCACTGTATGCATATAGTACATTTTCTTTATCCACTCATCCATCTACGGACATTTGAATTGCTTCCACCTTTTGGCAATTGTGAATAATGCTGTAATGAACATGGGTGTGCAAATATTTCTTCGAGATCCTGCTTTCAACTCTTTTGGGTAAATAACCAGAAGTGGATCATAAGGTAGTTCTAATTTTAAATTTTTGAGGACTCTCCAGACTGTTTTCCATAGTGACTGTGCCATTTTACATTCCATTAACAGTGCACAAGAATTCCAATTCCTCCACATCCTCACCAATACTTATTTTCTGTTCTTTTGAATAGTAGCCATCTTAACAGGCATGTGATGTATTAATTTTTTAGAAGTACTGAAAAAATGACAAGAAGTGTATACAAAAAACAGTTTCTTTTTTCTCTTCTTTCCATTACTAATATTTAATATTGGTCATGTCAGGCCCCACACTGTGGGATCACAAACATTGCTAATCATTAGTTCTCACACCCATGATGCAAACTAGGTATTGTCACTCCCACTTTACTGATGAGGAAACTGATGCCAAAGTCATGTCACTGGCAGGCGGCAGGGTTGGGACATGCGCTTAGGACTCACTCAGGTGCTCATGTTCTACCCCCTAAACCTGCGATCATCACTCAGGCCCTTAGCAGCCACACCCTGACTTTTTTGGAGGGATGCCACAACAGCTTTTTTTTCCCCAAAAAATTTTAAAGTAAGATTTGTTCCATTAGAACAATTTGAGGTTGACAGCAAAACTGAGGGGAAGGTGCAGAGATTTCCCATTAAATCCCTGCCCCGACACGTGCACAGACTCCCTCTTATCAATATCCCCTAGATGGGAAGAAGTGATAGCTAGACAACATTGAGTCTTCCTAGCCTTGAACATGGAAAGTCTCTCCATTTATTTAGTTCTTTGATTTCATTCATCAGTTTTGTGTTTTCCACATATAGATCTTTACATATTTTGTTAGATTTATACCTAAGTATTTCATTTTTAGGGCTGCTAAAGTAAATAGTATTATGTCTCAAATTTTAGCTTCCACCTGTTTATTGCTGGTATGTAGGAAAGCAATTGACTTTTGTATATTAACCTTATATCCTGAAATTTTGCTATAAGTGTTTATTAGTTCCAGGCATTTTTTATTGATTCTTTCAGATTTTCTACATAGATGATCATGTCATCTGCAAACAAAGACTGTTTTATTTCTTCCTTCCCAAACAATATACCTTTTATTTCCTTTTCTTGTCTGGTTGCATTAGCTAGAACTTCAGGATGGTGTTGAAAAGGAGTGGTGAGAGGGGACATCTTTGCCTTGCTCCTGATCTTAGTGAGGAAGCTTTGAGTTTCTCACCATTAAATATGAGGTTAGCTGCAGGCTTCCTGTAGATATTCTTTATCAAGTTGGGGAAGTTCCCCTCTATTCCTAGTTTCCTGAGAATTTTTTTTTTAAATCATAAATAGGTTAAATGCTTTTTCTGCATCTATTGATATGGTCATGTGATGATTTCTTTTTTAGCCTACTGATGTGATGGATTACATTAATTGATTTCTGAATGTTGAACCAGCCTTGCATACCTGGGATAAATCTCACTAGGTCACGGTATATAATTTTTTATACGTTGCTAGATTCCATTTGCTAATATTTTGTTATGGATTCTTACATCTATGTTCATCAGAGATATTGGTCTGTAGTTCTATTTTCTTGTAATGTCTTTGTCTGGTTTTGGTAATACTGGCCTCTGGAATGAGTTAGGGAGTATTCCCTCTGCTTCTATCCTCTAAACGAGACTGTAAAGTATTGGTATAATTTCTCCTTAAATGTTGGTAGAATTCACCAGTGAACCTATCTGGACCTGGTGCTTTCTGCTTTGGAAGGTTATTAATTATTGATTGAATTTCTTTAACAGATATAGGCCTATTCAGATAGTATATTTCTTTTTGTGTGCGTTTTGGCAGATTGTGTCATTCAAGGAAATGGTCCAATTTCATCTAGGTTATCAAATTTGTGGGCATAGAGTTGTTCATAGTAACGCTTTGTCTTTTTAATGGCCATAGGATTACAGTAATGCCTCTTCTTTCATTTCTTGTATTAGTAATTTGTGTCTTCTCTTTTTTCCTACTTAGCCTGGCTAGAAGCTTATCAACTTTATTGCTCTTTTCAAACAAAAATCTTTCGGTTTCATTGATTTTCTCTATTGATTTCCTGATTTCAATTTCATTGATTTCTGTTGTAATTCTTATTGTTTATTTTCTTCTGCTTATTTTGGATTTAATTTGCTCTTCTTTTTCTAGTTTCCTAGGGTGAATATTTAGATTATTGATTTTTTCCCCTTCTTTTCTCATATCTGTATTCAATGCTATACAATTCCCTCTATGCACTATTTTCATTGCATCCCACAAATACTGATGTGTGTTTTCATTTTCATTTAGTTTAAAATATTTAAAAATTTCTCTTGATATTTCATCTTTGATTCATGTTTTATTTGCAAGTGTGTTGTATAGTCTCCATTTATTTTGGGATTTTCTGGTCACCTTTCTGTTATTAATTTCTAGTTTAATTTCACTGTGTTCTGAGAGCAGTCATTGTATTAGATCTATTCTTTTAAGTGTGTTTAGGTATATTTTATGGTCCAGAATGTAGCCTATTTTGCTGAATGTTCCATATGAGCTTGAGAAGAATATGAAGTCTCCCGTTGTTGGAGAAGTCTATAGAAGTAAATGATACCCAGTTGACTGATGGTGCCGTTGAGTTCGACTAGTCCTTACTAATTTTCTGTCTGCTGGATTGGATCTGTCTATGTTTGCTCTGTATGAAATTAATATAGCTACTCCTGGTTTTTTTTAATTAGTGTTAGCATGGTATATTTTTCTCCTTGTATTTACTTTTAACCTATATGTGTCTTCATATTTAAAGTGGGTTTCTTACAGACAACATATAGTTGGGTCTTGTTTTTCTGATCCATTCTGACAATCTCTGTCCATTACTGGTGTATTTAAACTACTGAAATTCAAAGTGATTACTGAAATAGTTGGATTAATATCTATCATATTTGTTACTCTTCTATTTGTTGCCCTTGTTCTTTGTTTCTATTTTGTCTCCCACTTTTTTTTACCTTTTATTTTTTAATTGAGCATTTTATATGATTCCATTTTCTCTCCCTTTTTAGCATATCAGTTATACTACTTTATTTTTTTTTAATTGAGGAATTCGGGGAGGGGAACAGTGTTGGGGAATTGGGATGGGGACCAGCCAAGTTATTGTTCTTCAATCTTAGTTGTGGAGGGCGCCAGTCGCCATCTGGCTGCCTGTTGGCAGCTCGTGGCCACTAAGCTCAAGGTGCTGTGTTATAATCTTAGTTGCAGGTGGGCGTAGCCACCATCCCATGTGGGAGGTGAGCCAGCAGCCTTGTTGTTAAGAGTGTGCGTTCTATCTACTGAGCCATCCAGGCGGCAAGCTCAGCTCAAGGTGCCGAGTTCAGTCTTAGCTGTGGGTGGGCATAGCCACCATCACATGCAGGAGTCAAACTGGTAGTCTTGTTGTTAAGAGCAAACGCTCTGTCCGCTGAGCCATCCGGCAGCAGCTCAGCTCAAGGTGCCGAGTTCAGTCTTAGTTACAGGCAGACGTAGCCTACCATCGAATAGGCAGTCTTGTTGTTACACCAGCTCAGCTATCCTGCCACCTGTTGTCAGCTCAGCTCGGGCGCAGCATCACTGGACCCTGTGGGAATCAAACCGGCTGCCCTGTTGCTCAGAGCTCAAGCTTTTAAGCTAACTCTTAACCAACTGAGCCACTCGGCCAGCCCCTCAGTTACACTACTTTTAAAAAACTGTTTCTACCACTGGGTCCCCTTGGAGTCTTCCACTCTCAGACTTGTCTCCGATGAACCTCTAAGAATTCATCATCACAGTTCAGGTTTTCCTACCGGGCACGGGATCCCACAGCAGTTTCCTCTTATGAGCCTCTATGACACCCTGTGTCTCTCCAATCTTGGGAGTAGTGGTTTGCCCTGTGTCCTCCGCTCTTCTTGATCCAAGAAGAGTTGTTGATTTTTCAGTCAGTTCAGTTTTTCCCTTGTTTTTAGGATGGAGTGATAACTTCCAAGCTCCTTACATGCAGAACCATATACAGGTTTTTAACGGCTTCTGTAGCTCGTCTCCTCCTCACAGCTCTGTCTATACTCTGTGTAGACAGAGTGTGGGTTGAGAGTTACAAAGAACTGCCTCTCAGGTCTGCTTCTCTCTAGCTGTGTTATCTTGGGCAAGAAATGTCACATTTCTGAGCTTCTCATTTCATAGCTATGACAGGTATCACTTATGACCTAAAAGGGCTGTTTTGAGAAGGATTAGAAAAAGTTACAAATGGTTCAGCACTGGGGCCTGGTACAAACTTAATGACCTTTTGTTGAATGAACAGATGCCCCCTCTTCACTGTCACATTATTATTTCTAGAACCTTGTTTTTATCAGACCATATCCCTACTCAAAAGCCTCAAAACTATAAACAATTGCTCTAAACTCTGGTCACCTGTACAGCTTATTCATCCTTTGGCCTTGAAATAGTTTTGGGATGGTTCATGACTTTTCCATTTATATGTACTTCTTATCTCCCTAGCTGGAATTTAAATTCCTAAAGGACAGGGACCCAATTAATAACACTTTGCAAGTACCAGGCCTTCAGTAAAGAATTCTTGATAAGGAGGAAGAGGAAGTGGGGTAGGTCTGGGGGAGGGAAGGCAGTCAAAAACTTAAGATAGGACAGAACATGGTTCCTTAAACAAAATAACATGGCAGCACCTATATAACACCGGGCAGGACCAAAGGTGTCCAGGCCTCTTGTCTGGCGGAAAGACTTCTTTTAAAAATAACGGGGATGAGGGCCGGCCGAGTGGCTCAGTTGGTTAAGAGCTTGCTCAAGAGTTTGAGCTCTGAGCAACAGCAGTTCGAGTCCAGCCCAAGCTGAGCAGCCGCTAAGCTGCCAATAGGTAGCAGGATGGCTCAGCTAAAAAAAAAAAATAAATAACGGGGATGCAGCTGCACGTGGGTGGACACTGTATGGAAACTCCTAGCTGTAAAATGGACAGTTGTATAACTGGGCAATAAAATATGCAACAATAGCAAGTTTTCCTGATTTGGACGGAAACATTAGCCATGCATGATAATTATAATAATAGTAATAGTGAAAATGTATAGATACTGATTATGAGAGGAGCACTGTCCTAACACCTTATATAAAGCATATCATTTAATCCTCATGGAAATCCCATGAGGTTGGTACTAGTTTTACCCCCATTTTACAGATTGGGACACTGAGGCTTTGGGAAAATCAAGTGACATCACTTACTAGCTATCCAGCTAGTAAGAAGAGAATAGAGACTCTCTCCATATTTCCTACCTATTTCAGGCCTCCCTGATCTGCTGGCCTTACGGTCTGCGCTTTCCCTCTGCGGCCTGCTCGCGCTTCCTGCCTCAGGCCTGTGGACCTGTTGTTCCCTCTCTGGGAATGCTCTCCCCACAGATGCTCACAGGGCTGGCTCTCTTCACGCCTTCAGACCTCACTCAGGAGCCCTTAGCTGAGCAGCCTAACCAACGCCGCAGTCCTCCAGATGCTCCTATCACTCTTTCCACTGCATTTTCCTTTTCGACATTTACCACTGTCTAGCCCATTGTTTGTTTACTGTCTGCACCTCACCCCCACCTTTACTGGCAGAGATTTTTGTCCATGTTGTTCACTGCTGTATCCTAGCACCCAGAACAGTGCCTGGCACACGGCAGACCCTCAATACATACTTTTGGAATGAATGAATGTACTTACCTTACGTCATTGCCACCGTGAGCAAAGGATCCAAAACAGGCAGTAAGGACTTGCAGAAAATGGAATAGGAGGTGGACTTCGGCGGTGTCTTTCTCCTCTTTTTCTTCTTCTGCAGGGTCTTCCCGAGGCTGGGCAGGGTCGGTCAGCTCAGATGCCAGCTTCATTTCCACACCTCCCTCCTCTGCCTCTATCTCAGCTTCCGCTACCGCATTGCAGTAGCTCGAGTAGCTGTCATAGCGAAGTCTCTTTTTAGAATAGGACACAGTGTCACCCACCAGCTTTTCACTGTCCTCGGGTGCAGATGACGAGTCAGCTGTTTTAAAAGTCGTGTGGACTGGCATTCCACAAATGGCCGCGGTGTAGCAGGTGTAGCTGTTGTTTCTTCGCAGGAACCTGTAGTTATTTTCCTGTGCAGGCTTCTCCTCGGGGCCCCTGTCTGTGTGAATTCTGTGCAGCAAGTCTTTGTAGAGCCCCGAGTCCTTGTGTACGGTGTGGTAGACGTGGCCGTCACTCCTCATGTGGCCATCAAAGCCAAATGTGCCATTGGAGAGGGGCGACTTGGTAGAGCCATGAGTCATGGAGAGTGCCCTTCCTGCAAAGGGTTAAAAAATGGCCTTATTTTCTAGCCGTTCAAATTTAAATCATGTCTGGAAGGAAATATACTCTCCATGGGTTTGTCATGGTAACCTCTAGAAAGTTGGATTAGGGGTGATTTAAATTTTTTTCCACAGGCCTTATTTTCTAAATTAACTACAAAGGACATGTAGTATGGCTAAAATAAAAAAAGAGGGTAAAATTAATAATATGGTATTTTAAAAATGATGTTATTTAATTTCTCCTAAAAAGTGTCCTCCAGAGATGACTACCGCCTTCTTTCCTGTTTCTAGGAACCAGTAAGGGGAGAATCCTTATAAGGAACTTATTTTAGAAAAACTTCATACACAAGGGGCAAAACCCAGCTCACTAGGAGACAGATATTCTGGGTGCTCCTTAGAAGGCCAGTCAGGACTGTCAGAGGCAGTATCTGTCAGATCAAATTATTTTGCTTTCTTCGTGCCAAATCTGAGACCACACCTATGGAAAGCGGGTGCCAGAGCCCCACCTTGCAAGGAGGCGGGAAGCTGCCCTGACAGGCCTGGCAGAGGCTGGTGCGTGCCCATCACTGTCCACAAACATTATGGGACAGAAGGACACTCCCAGGACGGTCTTGGGGTTTTCTGAGGTTTCTGCAATTCTATGGTAGGATGACCACCTTGGTTCCAATTCTATTTTTCTCTTTGCATCTCCCACGATGAAGGCATCCTTATTAAGCTGGATAAGCCAATCTTCAGCAGCGAGGTAACTCCACAACATGGACAACATGCACGCGCAGCTAAGTGAGCTGCACAGAGGCACCGTGGGTGCCCTTGGTGCTGCTGCTAGGACTATAAATAGCTCTTGGAAGAAAAGCAGAGGACAAGAGTAAGCCTGCTCTGTTGATCGAATGGTCTCCTGAGTCCTCTTTAGCCCCTGGATTTTCTTTCTCAAAACATAAGACTGGGGGATACTTTTGTGCATTAAAACCTTACTGCCCACACGCAGGCCCAGCTGGTTACCCCCAAGGAACCGCTCTCTGCCACCATGCAAACCCCAGCCCTCCAAGTGGGTCTTACCATAGGAGGCCCGGGGGTGGTTTCCCACCGATGTGCCCTCTGAGGTCCCAGGCGTCTCCCCAGCTGAGCCCGTGAGAGGGACGGTGCTGTCGTCATTAGCTTTGGCACCTGGCAGCTCTTTAAATACTGGGGACTCTACTTCCTGAATTTTACTGAGGCTTTCATCAGAGACTTGTGATAAAGCAGCTTCTTTTTGTAATTTGCCTAAAGAAAACAGAGTCATAACTGAAAAATTTGGAAGAGAATTCTTGTTATTGACAAATGAATATACAAAATGAATATTTCTCTTTACACTTTGGTACTTACTTTGGACATGAAACAAAAAATGTTATAGCTAGATAGAAAAAATAAAGTGGAGAGTTCAATCAATTATCTGGGAAACCCAAGCCAGAAAATTCAGCTATTGAGGAAAAGATGGGGACTTGGGGCCTGAGTAATCTCATCCAAAACCAACAAAGAAGAGAGGGCTGACCTGACCCCCAGGGTCCCTTCCAGGGCTAACACTGTGTAATTCTACAAGCATCTAGCTTGGCTTTCTATTTTCTTAAACTAACCTCAGAATCTAACCACTGAAATGTTTCTCCCTTTTGTCTTCATAGATATTGTTACAGTCTATTTGGTTTTCTTCTGTTCAATAAATTATGGGTCTCGAATTTCTTCAGGTCACCAAATTTTAGGAAACCAGTAAATCATTTTCCTCAGAAGGAACAGAGGAGGTCCTACTTACTTTTAAAAATCCTTTATTTTCAAAAGAAACAAGGGACTTTTAAAAAAGTGGTTTTAAAGCTCAACAGCCATCTTTTTCATCAAATCTGATATGTGATGCTGCTGATGTACTGATCTTGCTGCTTGCCAGTTTTCCTCAGCAAATTTCTAGGCCATCACCTGCAGAAGTGAACTGGGACTGCTCTTCCCAGTCCCTCTGCGGGATACACGACACATAATCTCCACCTCTGGCATCTCTCCATCTCTGTATCTACCTAGTCACGTATAGAGAAAGGTTTTTTAAAAACTAAATTTCTACATAGTTATGTACTACAGGGAACAAGAACTGTACATACAGATCTCTGACCTCAAGTTGCTTATAATCTAGATGTGAGAAGATAATATTTGTAAAGATTATAATAGGTACAACTAAAATTATTAACACTTTCACAAGACACAGGTATTATTTTCTGCATTTTATTAATGAGCAAACTGAGGCAGAGAGATCAAGTCATTTGCCCAAGGTCGCACAGGTGGTAAAATTCAGGCCGTTTAGCTCTATGGTCCATGCCCTTAACCACTGGTCTGTACTGAAAATAATAGAACAGGAAATATAAATTGAAATACCAAAATATATGGCATTGACAAAAAAAATCTCCGAGGAAGGCAGAATGGCAATGTCAGTTTCCCGTTGTGACATTACAACCTAAAGCTGAAGAGCAAAGATTTTTATGGTCCATTTGACATTAAGGTTCAGCTATTAGGAAAAGCCTTTAAAAAAACTCAAAGCATTTCAAGTATACTTTATCACGCCCAAAGGGTTAAATCAAACAAAAAGTATGTTGAAGGGGGGGGGCTCATCTTAGGCTGGTACTTTGTATGAATAGAGTAGGTGATATTGTTCTCCACAGATACCATGTTTCCCCGAAAATAAGACCTAGCTGGAGACTAAGCCGTAGCACGATTCCTCCAGGATATGGAGGGCACGCACTCCTCACATGAGGGTTTTATGACCTGTTCCAGGGAGAAGGGTGCCTTTTCCACAAACTCCTTCAACTTAAAATATTCAGTACGCCAAAGCACCATATTTTGGCACCTAAAATCATGCTACGGCTTATTTCCCAGCCAGGTCTTATTTTCGGGGAAACAGGGTAGCAGGGAGCAGTTACATAGAAGAGGAAGAAGCAGCTGGATATCAATCCATCATTGATGTGGCTTCACTATTTAGTTTGAAGTTGCATGTATTAATACGAGTTTTATTATTAGTTTTTAAATTTACATGCAGTGGACTGACTCTGCCTGTGTGTGTACAATCCTGATTCTAACATGTCTAGATTCCTTTAACCCCTACCATAATCAGGATAGAGAAGGGTACCGTCACCCTGCAAAGCTCCCCTTGTAGTCAGGCCCGCCTGGCCCTCACCCTTGATACCCACTGATCTGGTCTGTGTCCCTGCAGTTTTGTCTTTTTTCAGAATGGCATATAAATGAAACCACAGATGCAATTTTTTGAGACTGGCTTCTTTTACTTGGCATAATGCCTTTGAGATTCATCGATGGTGTTACAGGTATCAACAGTTCATTCTTTTTTATTGCTGAGTAGGATCCAACATATGGTTGTACCATAGTTTGTTTTTTCATTCTGTGGGTAATCTGAGTTATTTCAAGTGTGGGGTAATCACAAATAAAACTGCTACAAGTATTCATATCCAGATTTTTGTGTAAATTTAAATTTTATTTCTCTAGGGTAAATACCTAAGAGTTGGCAAGTGTATTTAATCTTGCAAGAAATGGCCGAGCTGTTTTCCTGAGTGGCTGTCCCATATTGCACTCCCATCAGCAGTCTATGCGACTTCCAGCTGCGCCTCATCCTCTCAGCACTTAGCATTGTCTGTTTTTTTTATAAAGCTGTTCAAATAGGTGTGTATAATAACTCATTGTGATTTTCACTTGCATTTCCCTGATGGCTAGTGATGTTGATCACCTTTTTATGGATTTATTTGTCATCCATATATTTTTTTGGTGAAGTGTCTGTTCAGATTTTTTGCTCATTTTTTTTAAAGTGGGCTGTTTTCTGAGATTTCTTTATATATTCTGAATATAAGTCCTTTGTCAGATAGTGAATTTGCAAACATTTTCTCCCAGTCTGTAGCTTGTCTTTTCATTCCCCTAATAGTGTTTCTCATGGAGCAATAGTTTTTGGTTTTGATTAAGTGCAATTTACCAACTTCTTTATGAATTGTGTTTTTAGTGTCATATCTAAAAACTTAACCCAAGGGCTCAACTGTTTTTCCTTATTTTTTTCCCTAAAAGCCTTATTGATTTCTATTTTCTATTTAGGTCTATGATGCATTTTGAGTTAATTTTTTTACAAGGTGTAAGGCTTAGGTCAAGGTTCTTTTTTTTGGCATATGGCTGTTCAATTGTTCCAATATCATTTGTTGTAAAGAGTATTCTTTCTCCATTGAATTGCCTTTCTACTTTGTCGAAAATCAATATGCCATATTTGTCCGGGTCTATTTCTGGACTCTATGCCAGTCTATTAATTTAGATGTCTGTATGTTCACTAATACCACACTGTTTTATAGCTTTATTGTAAGTCTTAAAGTCGAATAGTATGAATTCTCCAACTTTATTCTTTTTCAAAACTGAAATTTGGCTATTCTAATTCTTTTGTCTTTCTATATAAATTTTAAAAGCACCTTGTCTAAATCTACAAAGTATCCTGCTAGTATTTTTTTTTAATTTGTATGAAACCTATAGATCAATTTGGAAGAATTGACATCTTTACTGAGTCTTCCAATTCATGAGCATGAGATGTCTCATTTGTTTTGATCTTCTTTGAAATATGGGTTTTCAAATTTGAATATATCCATATTGAAATGATTGTAAGGTACATTCTGAGGCCAAAAGTAAATACTTCTTTTCTTTTGAGAGCCCTGTAAAAATATGTGGCCTCAAGGCCTAGAATTCAATTATTTTGCTAGTGACAGGAAAAGAGCTCTGGCAACTTTCTAAACCATATTCTTCTTCTTTCTTTAAAAGTTGTTTTTATTGAGGTATAATTTACATACAATAAAATTCATACATTTAAAATGTGTAGGTGGATGACCTGGGACTACAAATGACGCCACCCTACAACCTGTCCCCCAGTTAAGACTGGGTACATTTCCACATCCCCAAAAAGTTCCCCCGTGTCCCTTTGCAGTCAGTCTCCTGCAACCCACCCCCGATGGTCTCAGCAACCAGTCATTTCCATTGCTATAGATTAATTTTCACTGGGATCATACAGTATGTACTCTTTTGTATCTGGCTTATTTTGTTCAACATAAGGTCTGTGAAATTTGTTATGTTGCCGAGCCTACCAGTAGCTCACTGTTTGTATTGCTAAGTATTGTTCTATTGCATGAAAACCACAATGTGGTTATCTATTCACCTGTTAATGAGCATTTGGGTTGTTTCCAGTTTTTGGCTATTATGACTTAACGATGTGTGCACAAGTCTTTTCATGAACAAACATTTTCATTGCTCTTAAAACTGAAAAGAGCATACCTAGGAGTGGAATTACTGGGTCATATGCTAAATGTATGCTTAACTTTATAGGAAACTGCTACAGTAATTTTCAAAGTGATTGTATCATTTTACATTTTACCATAAATAAATGTATGAGAATTCCAGTTATCCCACTTATTTACCAACACTTGATAATGCTACTCTTTTTCATTTTAGCCATTCCTGGTTCTTGCAGACATGAGGTGATATTTTATTGTGGTGTTAATCTGTATTTCCCTGAAGACTAATGTTTTTCATCAGCTCAGTAGCACTTACCTGCACAGTTAACTTCCAGTTATCCATGGCAACTGGGACCTTACTGCTCCCCTGGGTCATAAGTTATCAATAAAAAGTTTGAGCCAGAAAGTGGTCAGAAACCAAGAGACAAGGACTGGGCCTGTATGTTCTAGAGTTATCCATGCTTCCATTCCCTCTGTTAGGTAGGATAATTGTGGATTATATCTGAAGTCTCAGGAATTGGGAGTGTTTTTATAAATCAGAAGAATAAAAAAGCTCTCACCTGCTATTTTCCTCCGCATCCATGGACACACGAAGAGCCACACAAAAAAGGCGAACAGCAGCGCCACACCAAACGAGATGAGTGCTATCGCCCACATGGGGAGGACCAGGCCAAGCACTGAGCGATAAAAATGACAGCAGTGGTGTCAGTGGATGCTTTCTGAGAGGTCAAGCCTCATATCAACATTCCCCAAACCTAAAACTAATCACCTGGAATTTGTATTTAATAAAACTCTCAACCAAAAAAATGCGCTATACTTTTTGGGATAGAAAGCTGTATGTTTAAGACGCACTACACCTTCTGAATATGTGGTTAAACAGGTTAGTAATCTAGTTATTAAAATGTTACCAATTTGGCACAAGCAGTATATTAAGTTGGCAATAAAGCCATTTACATATTATTTCAATATCTAAATTCCCAAGTGGACAAACGTGGCTAAGGAAGGAGTCCACCATCTTGTGTCCTAATAGCTAACCCACTCCCATGGGCTGGAAGCAAAGAAGCTGAGGTCTGGAACGCTGCACAGAGCCGCTGACTGCTGCCTCTTCTGGTTTCTCAGTAATCAGCAGCCTTGCTTTAAATGGACATGACGCTCTGACCACATACACTAAACTTTTTAAAAATCCGTTTAGAAACAAAAGTTTTTAAAAAGGACATTGACCTTCAAACTCAACTCTTTGCAATGTCAAGTCAGGGAATTACAACATAGACAAATCTTTTCGTTAAAAATCCAGTGATGCACACTAAGTTGCAATTACGTAAAAAAAAAAACAGTAGGAGTGCACACGGTTTAGGAATATATTTTCCTAGTGCTGTAATGTCTCCAGAACTTATCACTCTGAACTTTGTACATCTTCTGTCACTGGTGGCAACAGGCACACTTAACACACATTCACAGGGGTACAACTTAAACACGCACACTTGCACAGGAACACAAGATATACATACAAGGATTCCCACAGTAGCATTACTTGTAATAGTAGGAATTTGTAAGAGAACTAATATACATGCATCATTATGGAAATGTGAAATAATTATAGTCTACAGTCTTAAAAATGAGGTAGATCTATATGTACTGGTAAAGAAAGAGGCCCAGGATCTAGTTAAGTAAGGAAGGCTGGTGGTGGGCCAGCCGAGTGGCGCGTTGGTTACGAGTTGGCTTGGGACGCCAGCTCTGAGCAGCAGGGCCCCAGTTTGGATCCCACATGAGGGCCAATGATGCTGCGCCCTCTACAGCTAAGTTGGTGAACAACAGCTCGACCTGGAGCTCGGCTACCGTGAGCTACTGAGTGGCTGGCAGCCAGTGTGAGCTGCAGTGAGCCACCGTGAGCGGCCATCCAATGGCCAGAGAGTGACAGCCTCATCGGGAAGAGCGCAATGATAATACCAACATGGGCCAGTGAAGCGACATCTTCCACAACTAGACTGAAGAACAAAAGGACAGCAACTTGTCTGTTCCCCTTCCCCCGATTCCCCAGCACTGTTTCCCTCTCCCAATTCCCCAATAAAATCTTTTTTTAAAATAAATAAAAAATAAATAAAAAATAAAAACCTTTAAGAGAAAGAAAAAAAAAAGGAAGGCTGGTAGTTGGATGATGGTATGAGCAGCATGACCCAATTTATGTTTTAAAAAGATAACACCCCACATTTACACTCCTACCATATGTGTGAATATATAGAGAAAGTTCTAGAAAGATACAATGGCTATTCCTGCGGAGAGATGGGAAACTAGAGGGGGCTTTCAACTTCTTACTACATATATACTTTTGTACTGTTAACTTTTTTTTTTTTTTTTTTAGCTGAGCCATCCTGCTACCTGTTGGCAGCTCAGCGGCTACTCAGCTTGGGCTGGACTCGAACCGCTGTTGCTCAGAGCTCAAACTCTTGAGCGAGCTCTTAACCAACTGAGCCACTCGGCCGGCCCTTGTACTGTTAACTTTTAAAATATATAATAAGCATGTCACTTTGGTAAATTGTTCAGTTTTTAAAAAGTGTTAAGAGTGAATTATTTAAAACTCTGCCCTTTGATTAAACAGCTCTTTAATCATGCAGGCTTAATAGACTGCTAACCATTTTATACAAACCAACTCAGAGTTACTCAATTAAAGTACTGTTAAACATTTTGGCAATTGTAAAAGGTAGAATAGGTAGTTAATTATAAATGGGGTCAGAATTAGCATATATAAATATGAAAGCCAAAAAACCAGAATCACCTAACTTAATTATAGCTAAGGGCTCACCGGTGGGAGTATAGACACTTAAGGGCCAATCTCTTCCACTTCCAAGCTCCCGGGTACATCAGGAAGCTGTGGACTTGCGTGGGGCTGCGGCGGGTTAGCTGACTGCAAGCTCCGGCCTCGGCTCTGCCCCAGGCTCAGCCCTAGAATCCGAAGCTTGGAGCTGCTTTTAAAACCATGGGGCCTGACCTCATGGGGCCATGCCTGTGGGCCATGGCTTCCTGGCTTCTGCTTTCGATCTTCATGTTAGTGTCTTAACACATGTGATAAAGAATCACTCCAAAGCGGCATCTTGCCAAACTGAGTGGTAACTGTTAATTCCCAACATCAAACTGACCAACTAACATCAACCCAAATCCCTCTTACAGCTTAAAAACATTTGGTTTTTGAAGAGGTTTCCTGTTTCCTTTGTGGCTCCTGGTTTAGTTGATGGTAAAATTGTTAACTGCTACTTTTGGCTTCATTGTGTTAACCTGATCTAAGAGAGGCAAACCCTGGATGCTGTGGGGAAAGAGAAACCACCAGGGAGATATATAAGTGAGTGAACCCTTCTGCTCTCAGGCCCTCTTTTTTCCATTTCTGCCGAGCAGAACCCACAACAAAAGCAGAGAAGGGCTGCTTTCTGGGCTCCCTCCCAGCCCATCGCCCTGCTCTCCGCTGGGGTCAAGTGGGATTCCAGATGGGTCGGGACCAACATCCAAAAGGGAGAAACTGAGTTTAGTTACAAAACCTTTGGCCCTTTGCTTAGACAGTGAGACACAATGTCACCTGCTCCTTGAACCCTTACTATCAGAACCGCCTTTGCCATTGGTCTAGCCTGGGACATGGCCAGAAAGCTGTGAAGTCACCCTCCCATTCACAAGGTAAGAGCAAGGGACGCACACATCGCTGAGGACGGAAGGGGCGTGAGGAGGAGACAGAGTAAGTACTAAGGAGGAAACGAGTGAAGGAACGCAGGAAAATAGGGGAAAGCCGTTGACAGTGAGTAAAACAGGAGGGAGGAACAGAATGGGGCAGAATTTGGATGGTACCCAATTATCCCAGCAAGTTAGTAATGTAACAGAGCACCTAAAGAACACAGGAATTTACTCCTAAAGCCCGCATGTGAGAAATGCAAACCAACAGTTATGTTATAAATAACTCTAAATTGTACTACATATATAAAACCAAGTTTCACGGATTAAAAAAATAAATACAAAAATTCAGCCAAGAAAAGTGCTTGAATCAATGCACATCCAAAGGAAAACTATTTTTCTTCTGAAAAATTTGAGGTTGACTTATATATAACAACATTCTTGACAAAAATACTTTGTATTGACTGGTCCTCCTGTGAGGACCTCAAAATGTTTTCCAAGAATTACACCTTAAGAGGGCCGTAAAGCACCGCGTGCACTTCTTTCTGTGGACAGGCAAAGTAGGACACAGCTTGAACTGCTCCAGTTCCCTCGGCCAAGAGTGGCTGCCAGGAACCAACGCGGGGCGCGCTCAGCCCCCGTCCTCGGCTCCAGCCACTCAACGGCCTTTCATCTCCAGCTCCTCTGTGTTCTGACCAGCAGAGATATGATGAATAGTGATTTAGCTCTAACCTCAAGCATCTTTACAATTCTATTCCAAATCCCCCACAGATCAGAAGGCTCGAGTGACTCAGGGAAGAAGCAAATAGAACTTTTTAGAAACACCATCTTCCAGAGCCCTCATTTGGTTACACCTCTTGTTTTGCATATACAATTATTAGAAACTATAAAATAAATAAAATTTCTATACAACCAGTAAGTCTTCACTCCATATTAGCTCTCTTGTACACCTACTCGTCAGCCCCTTCTCCCTACAACCATCCTTCTTCGCTCTCTCTCTCTTTGGTGTAATTTTATAAATAATATATTTTTATATAAATAACATAAAAATATAAGCAGTACAAAATTGTTATGATGTACAAATAAATTCCTAATCACCCTCCCCTCTCGAACTCACGTCCCAGAGAAATGCTGGTAACTGTTTGGTGTGTATCTTTCCAGGCGTTTTCTAAATACAAACCAACACACAGTCTAGACTGTTTGCCATAATTTCTTTTTCCCTCTTCCTTCTCCTTCCTTTTTTTTTTTTATTTTTATAACTTAACAGATGTAGAATCTTACTGGAGGTACTGCTCTGTGCTTTCATTTCTCACATAACGGTTTATTGTGGACATCCTTCTACGCACATTTACCTCGCTTGCAGAGTCACTTTTTACTGATCCTCCCTTATCTGATAAACTGAGTTACCAGTTTTTATTTTGTTTGTTTTAGATTAATATGTTCAAAGCATTAGAGGGAGAATAAAAGGCATAAGAGGAATCCTAGAGCAACTTCTTCAAGAAAAGGAAGCATTCTTTTAAAATTGAAAAATACTATTTCCTAAATTGTCCCATAATTGGGATTTTTTTTGCAGATGGTACCAACTTTCTCAAACCAGGGTTCATTTATAATAATTCTGAAAAGGAAGTGAATTTAAATCACTGTTTTGAATGAAGCCCTTGGTGATAACTAGAGACTCTTCTCACCCAGGGCTTCCTGACCCAGGGCCGACAGTCACTGCAGTCATCATGTCTGGTTTCTCTGCAGCTTGGAACTTTAAAATGGTGACATGGAATACATACATGGGCACCAGGCTCCTTCCTACAAAGCCAACAGAGGCCTGAGGAGTGACTGATGGTCTAATTTTCTTGGGACTAGATCAGAAGAGCTGCAATTGAATGAGGAAGAGGAGATGAAAGAGGAGGAGGAGGAGGAGGGAGGAGAAGGAGAGGCAGTGGCACCTGGGTCTCAGATGCAGATTGCTCTGAAGCAGCCAGAAACCAGGCCTGGTTCAGGTTGAGAACTCATTTGCTGGTAAAAAAGAGAGTAAAGGTTGCTAGTAAGACTTTTGAAGAGCACCCCTTACATAAGAACTGTGATAAGGTAACAGTGTTTGTGGTAAAGGTATGATGAAGAGGTGACTAGAGCAGTGGTTCTCCAACTGTACCATGTATCAGGATCACCAGAGGGCTCCCTGGTAAATCACAGGTTGTCAGGCTGCAGGATTTCTTACTCAGTGGGTCTAGGGTTGGGCCTGAGAATTTTGATATGATACCATGAGAAGCTCATGCTGCTGGTCTAGAGACCACACGTTGACTTAGAAGTTATACACTTATATATACTTAGGTTCAATTAGGTGATCTGCTTTGACTACTCAAAGAGGCATGTGATAAATTTCAGCTTTCATTCTTTAAACGCTGAACAAAAACCAGGCCCCACACAACTGAAGACTTTCTCATTAAAAATAAACTTCAGGCTTATATCCAACCCAAGTGAGCACTTTATTTCCTAAAGTTATTTTTGCTTCTTGCAAATTATTTTTTAAAGGACCAAAAAATGCAAAGACAACTTTTTAAAGTGCTACCTTAGTCTTTGAAGTGTAAGAGTGACTTTTTTTTGAGAAAAGTCATGTTAAATGCAAAGTAAAACAAATCAAACTAAGCCAAAGATATAAACAACTTCAAAATAATTCAGAAAGGAGGAACAGAGGAAATCGAAACAAAATACTATAACTCAACATCCAGTGGACCCCACTAAATTCATCTCCAGGCATAAAAATGCTATTTATCAACATCTCTTAAAGTTGAAACTGGGTAAGATTAATGGTGTCATTTTTTTTTTTTTTTTTTTTTTTTAGAGAATTTTGTTTCCTTTTATCCCCGAGGCCCTTATGTGTTGAATGGAAACGTTCTAAGAAAGAAAGGGACACAAGGAAGAATAAACCCCAGGCTGGCAGAAAGAAAGACACATCCTAAAAGGAGCAGACTGACCAAGTCACTGTTGAAGTGACACTTCTCAGCTCAGCCTTACCACCAAATATGACACCGTGGCTATTTATGATACATCTGGACAGGCAGAGAGGCCCTACATGAGGAAACATCATGTAATTAAAATTTAGTTTGAAGGGCAAACCTTAACCTTCAGTGTTTAAATAAAAAAAGATTTGAACTCACCTACTAGAAATTCTGGAAACATTTGACATGAATGTTTATTAGCAAAGTTCTTTTCTGATTTAGTGGAGGAACAAAACGGTGGGTCCTTCAGAGTCATGTCCTTCTTCTCCTTCCTTTCCCTCTAGGCAAGCTCCCCCAGAAAATTTCAAGTAAGAAATTTTCCACACCAGTATGTGTGGAAAAAATAGAAAGATAGAATGACTCAGGATATGTTGGCAACTTAAGGCCAAAAAGATGAGGCTATTTATGACTGATGGTAATAAAATACCCCTTAACATGTGCTAAGAGTTATTATGTGTCAGGCACTGTGCTAAGCTCCCTGCCGGTATTATCTCGCAGAGATCTCACTACTGTCCTTACTTTATGATGATGAACAGAGAGGTACAGGGAGGTGAGGAAATGTGATGCTTTGGACAGTACAGTCACCCAACCAAAGCACTTAAACATTAACTCTTAGCACTGGGAATATTGTTTGTGCTTTCACCTGAGTAATGATCTTCAAGATTCTTATATAGAAGTTTTTAATGTTCCTAATCAAAGAGGTAGTCACCTTCTTCATACTACCTGTATATTAAATATATACAAAAAAACATATATCCAGGTTTCCAAATATATTGGAAGCCATTTTTAAAGAGAGTGATGAGAAAGGAATGTATTAAGGCTGATGTATTTTGACTGTCATTAACGGTGACTTTAGATAGCAAGTACTATACACTAGGTGGCTTGGGACTACATTGTCTGCTTCAAATTTTGGTTCTGCACCTTACTAGTTATATGGCCTTGGGAACTCAGTATTGCCATGCCTCAGTTTCTCATTTGTCAGCAAAGCAATATTACCAATTTCCTAGAGACGTCTGAATGACTTAAAAGCCTTAATTCATGTAAAACTCAGCTCAATAAAAGGTAGCATTTATATTATTTATTTCTCACAACCTCTCTATGAAGCATTTATATTATCTTTAGGGTCTCATCCATTATATAGTTTAATTTTCTCTAGAATAATTTCCTCTCCCAGTAAGACTCTTTTAGCAAATTTGCAGTAAAATTGCAGCAAAACATGAGGAAAAGGAAAAAAAGATGGAAAAAAATAGGCCAAGTATAGAAAACGTCAAATTTTAATTAAAAAACAAAAAACCACACAGTTGACTTCTGACAGTTAGAAGAAGAACCAGGGAGCAAGAAGAATAGAGAGTAGAAAAAAATAAAATGCAGAAACAAAACATATATCATCCTTATTTATACCGATTCCCATTTCCAGGACTTGGCCCTACAAAGGCATTCCTGGCATTCACTGACTCGGTTTCCTTAATCACTAAGCCAGAGGTGTCTGGCTCCGGATGGTTGCTTAGCTTTTGGTTCAGTTAACTGGACCTCCAAGAGCCTAAACAAAAGTAAGAACAAGGACTCCCGAGCAAGAAGACGGTGGACAAAGAAGCTTTGGGAGATGCACAGGCTTGGTGGTGGGCTTAACTGGGTGGCGTGTAATGGTTTTTTCCCTGCCTCTGATTTTTTTTTATAGACAATGAAAACTATCTGTGACAAACATACTTCATAATCCATGGATTACAAAACCTGAAGGGCCATCAGGCTGCTGTTATCTGAGGCTAGGGTGTCATGTCTCTCATCGCCATGACCTTCAGCTTTGGGCTTTTTGTTAACTTAAAACAGCTGTGGTGCTTCACAGCTGGGCTGCCACCCAAGGCCTGGAAGTCCTGGTCAAGAGCATTCAAACCTTTAAGATCGACATTGTGAATGCTGCAGGTGCCAAAGTCGAAGGCTCTATAATGCTAAGAATCACTCAGAAATAATTTTTTTTAATTTTTAGTACTGAAATATACAAACATAATTATATATGGCAATTAAAATCTGAGAAAAACTGCCTTAAGAAAACCTAGTTTGAGAAATTCATAAGGACTGTCCCTCATTTTGGAAGAGGACACTTTTCAATTATAATATGACTTGCCATTTAGAGAATTTTATCTTTTGATCAGAGAGGGAGATTTTTGTCAGATATGGGCAATAACTGAATCTTAATCCATAAAGAACATTAACAAGAAGAAAAACAACACAAACTAACGTATCTGCTGACTCCTGATAGCCCCACAATAATGGGTGTATTCAGGGTCTGGCTGCAGGAGGTTCATCACACAAAGAGAAACAGAAGGATTTCTCTCAACCAAAACATGTACAGAAATACTGAATTAGAATGTTGCCAGTTGATCATCAACACTGAAATGTGTGCAAATAAGAATACTGTACGAAAGTTTTTCTTTACCCACTGAAAAAAAAAACAAAAAAACAACAAAACTTTTATCCCCGCCCCTGCCCAAACTCCAAACTCTTGTAAAAGAAAGAACAAAAGCCATCAGGATGGGAAGAAAAGAAATACCTCTGAAAAGAAAATCACCATTGGTTTCAATATCTAAAAAAAAACAAAAAAAACCCCCATAGTTTCTAGTCACTGGATTCATTGGTCTGACAATTTCTTAGAAGTTCTATATTTGTGACATTGACCACGTTCAGAGCGTCCCCTCTCGTGTCACCGATGTGTGGGCTGTACTGCTCACATGTGCTCCGTCCCCCTCCCCAGCTCAGGGAGGCCTGAGGAGTTAGGCGTGTTCTGAGACTCAGAGAACATGAGGAAGCTACTTAGGCAACATAGCTAGGTAAACCGCAGAATGGGAATTTCGATTTTCTTTTCTTCAACCTGGAAGTCTGTTGCCTTTATACTTCTATATCTTTCGAGTATTTAAAACAAGCAAATGCATTTACTACTCTTTTCACTACTTCCTTAATGACCAAGAGTAATGCCTTTCACTGTCAGCCTATGACAGTACCAACACCAAATAAACCAAACCGTTAGACTGTGATATACCTTGCCTGCTGGAAGTACTTTTCCAAGGAATTCTTACCTGGTGCTCCCGTATACATGATGGAAAATACGTTTATTGCTATTGTAGCAGCATAGAACACTGGAAGTGCCCGGAGGCCATTGGGAACAGGGTCCTCCTGCATGGTATGACATAAAGGAGAAGGTCAGGAGTCAAGAAGCATCTGAACCCAGTATAAACACCAGCATGGCCAAAACAGCCGGCCATGTCACTGCTGTGTGATCTACTTCACATTTACAGAAACAGCATCAGCTTGGGCTGTCTCTCCTACACTAGTGCTATTTCAAAAAGCCCATTATTGTGCCCAGCAGATATGTCAAAGCCCTAGAATCACATGAGCTGACGTCAGATTTAGAAACAGAGAAGAACTGTTAGGTTAGGCCAGTTCCTGGGGCCGGCCATCTACTTCAAAACCTGGGGCACTCACTGCCCTAGCTAAGTTTAGGTTTGGCCCTAAAAATCTACTTTCAACAAATATTTTGAGACTCGACGCTCTGAGGAAGCCCTAAGGAAAGCCACTGCATTACTACTAGATTTTAAATCACTCTACTACACACTACATTTTAGCTCTACTAAAATTACATAAAGCAAATACATTACCATGTGCTATGATTTTCAACATCGTCTCGTGAGGTATAGTATTGAAGCTTCAACCATTAAAAGTTACAAAGAACTGTGAGTTCTTTATCTAATAAAACATTTATCCACAACTTCAGGGTTCTGGTACATCACTCCCTAAATCTACTACTTCAACAAGAAAGGCACTGCACATGTGTTAGGCTAAATAACATCTGAGGGAATATTTGAAATTTTAAGAGTTTTAAGCAGATCTAAAGAGGACTTTGAAACAAAAATATGGACTGGGAACTCCTCAATACAGCACTGGCACACAGATGTTATTTAAATAATTCAAAGAAGGACAGATTTCTAATAACTATGTAAGACACTGGTACATTTATCTGAATCTGCTACCTTCCCATGATAAAAGGAAAGTTAGACCTAAACGTTGATGTGAACCACAGCAGTAAGGATAAATAGGGACTATCTCAAAGGTTCCTACTGTGAAATGCAAAGATGTAGGGAAATCAAGTGTGTTTGCAGAACAGTCCAACTCCTCCAGAACCTACTGTGGAATGTCTCAAGTAACCATCAGCGCTTGTCAAGAGGCTTGAGTTGCATGGTTGTGAGGTGTAAGGACCAGTAAGAGCAGAGGGAGGAAGTGATTCAACTGCATGAGAGTCATACCAGGTCAGGCAGGGGAGGTTAAGAGCAGCAAATATGAACAACTGAGGGGCAGAAGCTGGGATGAGGGGCACAGCAGTCTTCTAATGTGTCATGTACCACGTGGAAAGAACCCTGGCTGAACTGAAAACAAAATGTGGCGATGCTCAAATGCCTACTGCCTCTGGTTTCCAAAATGTTGTTTCCTTGGGGACAACAGTTGCTAAAGGACTCCCAACCAATAACTTCTGAAGGTGTATAAGCCCTGAGTTTATGTTTTTAATTACATCACCTTCTGTTTTCTCAAATAACCTAAACTCAGATGACAACTGTCTCATTGAGACCTGTCTCCTTTCTTCCCTCTCTCCCCTTTTCCCCTCCCTCCCTCCCATTCATCCATCCATCCACCCACCCACTGTTACCTACCCAAGCATCTATCATTCCCCCTTAACAAATATTCAACCAGTGTCTTTGAAGTGCTAAGCACGGTGCTAGGCGCTGGAACAGAAAAGTGAGTTAAGAAAGTTATGGTTTCTACTCTCACAGGTCTTATAGGAAAACAGCACATGGACCACGAAGCAAGAAATAAAACTCCACATAACAACATGCGAGTGCAATTATGAGAAGGTACAGAGTGCTGCGGGTATCAGAGAGGAACCAATCAGAACTTGGGGTGGGAGAGGAAAGGCTTCCTCAGAAGTGACACCTGGAGGATGAGTAGGAGCGGGAGTTTGCCAGGCAAGGATGGGTTCCAGACAGAGGAAACAAAAGGGTGAAGGCCAGCAGGCAAGAGGGGGTGGCATCTTAAAAGACGTAAACAAATATTAGTGAGGCGGGAGCCCAGGAAAAGGGATGGGCAGTTTGTACTTATCCAGGAGGATGAGTACTTCCATGGACCACTCGGCAAGGATAAGAAAACACAGCTGCATCTCTAAGTAAGGATACCGCTGAAGAAAGGTATTTTCTCGGTGTGCTCTCACACATGACCCACGCCTGCTTTGTGGCTTATAAAATATTGCAACAACCCCTTGACAGTCAAATAAAAGAATACAATCGAGTTTTTTTCTAGGATACTGATCTCAGTAAGTTTTAATTTTAATCTCATTTTATTTTTGATAAACTACACCCCCAATTGGTAGATGTCCTTCTTTGCATCCTTTTAAGGACAGGAAAAAGGCAGTGCCTCAAGCTTGCTTTCTCCATTAAAAACTAGAAAACACCTTACATCTGGGTAAAGAAATTCTCCAGCTGTTTTTAGTAATAGTCTATTTAAAAATCTTAACACTATCTCATGCTGTTTTGTTTAACGATCAGGAAGTAATTATCTTTCCTTTCCGAGGTCAAAGCACAATGAACGCCTGGGAGTGCTAAGAGCTCAGTCATAGGGCAAGAAACAGCGTTTACAATGCTGGGCTCTGGGGGAGCCCCTGGGTGCCCCACCTTGGATCTTTACTCTTGCTTCACAATCAAGTCTGATTCTAACTTCAGGGTAATATGCCTTAAAAATGTAAAAACACAATTTTTCCTCTGACCCCTCATGATTAATTTCTATTGAACAGAACCAAAATTCGTTCTAAAACTTAATTAAAAAAAACAACAAAAAACCCAGCCTCACTTACCTTTTTTAAGATGAAAATTCTGATCAGTACAAACAGCACGCCAGACATGAAACCAGACAACAGTGGAGATATAAACCAAGAAGCAACTGAATAATTAAAAAAAAGTCTAATGAATGTTAAAATCCTACATAATTCAATATATATTATATTTATATCATACAGTGATAACCAACATACAGTACATACATTAATAAATAGTTCTGGAACTATTCAAACCGTAACTCAGAGGCTAATTAATAAAGCCTCTGCCCTGGCAGAGCTGACCTTTCACACATGTACAGCTCTCCCCAGACACACACACAATCCCACAGAACTGAGCGCTCTCCCAGCACACAGTTAGTAAGAGATCCTGAACTCTAGCCTCAGAGACAGATCTAATTCCCACTGAGCCGCTTCTGCCTGCTCTTCGTATCAATCCATATGGAGACCCGGCCCTTGCTCCAACAGTAAGGGCCATTTAAAAGGTGGGCCACCTTCCATTTCATTTCCCACATCCAGCCTGGTACTGCCACCTGGGCATGTTTAACCTCTAGGCTAGCAGTTCTCAACTCTGGCTACACATTGGAAATATCTGGGCAATTTTCAAAAACTAGTTACACTCTGGCTCCACCCCCCAGAATTCTGATTTAAAAGGTTTGGAATGGGGTCTGGGCATTGATATTTTTAAATTGCTACCCCAGGTACTTTTAAAGTACAGCCAGAGTTGAGAACCACTATTCTAGAAGCTTAGGATCTAAGGTGATTCTCCTGGCCATCTGTGTGTCCCTCCCTGCTTGGCAGGTCAGGGGTCCGTTCGACCTAGAGCTCCTGAGGCCACTGGGATTTTTAAAAGGATGAGTGACACAGAGGAGAGAAATGGGAAAAGATTATTTTTTACAGTGAGCGGGTTGGTATTTATGAGGCAGGATGGATTTCTCACTTACTATAAGCCAGAGCAAGGAAGCAGGTTGTCAGGCCTCTTAGGACAGTTCCTGCCAGGCAGCCTACAGCCCAGAAAGAACACTTGAGTGCCTCCTCTGTGAGGGGCAGGCTGGGTGATCTCTTGAATGCAGCGAGGTAAATAACATTAGGCTCACTGCACGGCTTCCCTGTGACCATGAACTCTGACTCCTGGACAGTAAAGGTATTTTTCTCACGAGGGCCTACGTTTTCTCTGACTACAAACTGATTTCAATCAGATAAATTTCTTCACTACCTAGAAACAACAGATAAATATTTTCAAAACTAGGTGACAATGCAACATTTGAAAAGAGTGCTTAGAGGTAAAAAAAAAAAAATTCTCTAACACATAACAGTTCACAATCTCTGTTAATGGAAAATTTTTAAGGGAAAATGTTTTACCCATATAGGTCTTCTAAACCTTAACACTTGAAGGAAAGGATATATTATAATGGTAACTTTTAATAAAACTTACTCTAGAGAATGCAAACTTTCCTTCTTATAGGTAAAAGAAAATGGCAATTACCAATCTTGACAAGCTCCATCCACTGCACACCTTTTGTACCAATTGCAACAAGTGAGAATCCTATAGTAGAACCAACAATGCAATGAGTTCCTGAGATTGGAAGCCTCAGGAAGGATGCGATCAGCTGCCAAACAGCTGAACCTATAGGTTGAGAGAGTAAAAAAAAAAGTTAGATATAGAGTACAGTGTCTCAAAACAGCCACAAAAGGAAGAAATCCAAACTACTGTTCTCCATAACAACACTCTCTGGAGTTCATTTTCTGTGAGTTGTTTCTTTACAAAGTGCTAATGTCCCGACAAAAAGGTCACTCGATTCACTTCAAAGAAACAGTCTTCAAGAGTGAAGAGATAATGATGATTTATTTAAAGAAAAGTCTTTAAAGGAAAGTCTCTTGATGCCAGTTATTAACTGCCTTTGTCACATTTAGGCAAGGGCGCGGTGATGAACTTGTTCTGATGCGAAGTGTGGCCAAGAACAAGCAAGAGATTACAGACTCGAATGAACGCAGACCAACAACCGAGGCTGCATATTGGAAAAGGTTTCGTTGCAGTCATGCCTTGTCACATAATGGGAGGGCTGGACATCGGCCACGCTGCATTAGTGTGTCCAAGGGAGAGTACACCACCATGGAGCTTTTTGGTTTTTGCTTCGCCCATGAGAAGGATCTATGACTATTTCACCCAAAGATGGGCGTCTGCTCTCAGCCTCTCCCTAGCATAGTGGACCTTTTCTTTGCATACTCCCTTAAGTCTTCTAATTTTTAGGAGTTCAAAGGATCCCTCAGTTTTGGCTGCGTGTCCTTTTACCTCGATTTCACCACTCTTTTCCAGGCTTAATGTTTTTCTAGGCTATAGTTCACGTCAGATATTTTCATAAGCAGATCAAATTTTGCAGTGAGTATTAAAAGCATCAGCTGGGAGAGATCACTTTCAGACACAGTTGTTGAAAAGTTCATATATAGAGAGCTGTAAGGGAACAAAGGGTTTGGCTGATAAGCAGGGCCCGCTATTAATCCCAAATGTTAATTCTGGAAATCTGGTTGCTTGGCAGCAGCAGCACTTTTAAACAGACCCTTGGCATTTTCTTCAAAAATATCTGAGTTACCGGGGATCATTACAGGTTGTACAGGTCCCAGTCAGTGAAGCAATGCTGACAGCTGCTCCCTGAGTGCTGGGCATGCTGACCTTCGAGCCGCAGTGGGCTGTGACCTGTGTCTCTCTGAAGCATGTGTTGGAAGGAGAAGGGGCCAACCCTGTGCTGCCAAGCCAGGGACAGCTCCATGGCAGCACCCAGGCTTCCCAGTGGACAATTCCTTAAGCTTTCCACATTTAAGCCCTGGGCTCCTCTGGGGCTATACAGCTGTTTTAAAAATAAAGCCAGAGTTTGGAGCATGTTTCATGGCATAGAACCATTAACTAAAAAACAAATCTTATGATTTATATTCTTTCAAAAATGAAAATAATCTCGTAATGTTAAGAGAATGGTATAAACTCACCCACATGCATTCAGACCATGAGATTTTTCTTTCCTGAAAGCTGCTATTCTTTCTCTGGCTGACTTTATGACATACATCCTGGAGTAGGAGGGTTTGTAAGGAAAGGTAGGGAGGATGGGGGCTGTCTGAGAGAGGAAAGAAGGAAACGGGAGGAGTGATGAAGCAGCTGAAAGGAGGGGGAGAAGGGAGCAGGTATGTGCAGGGGACCTAGCAAAGTTAGAGTGGGTGAGAGGCTGCCTTAACCTTAGGGATTTCTGAAGGCAAATGGGATTACACTAAGGTTAAGGAAAACAGTGGGAAAAAGAAAGGTATTTTAACCTAAGATAATGATGGCCTACAAAGAGGAAAGGGATTAAGTACAGGATAAGGGTATAAGACAAAAGCTAGGGAAAGTGCAGGGAAAGACTGGCGTCTCTGAGGCGATTGGTTCCTGGGAAGATGCAAGAACGGCAGAGCAAAGGCTCATGGTTCTCAGATGCAGGCAGGCAGGTGTGAGTGAGTGCAGGGAGGGGAGAAGGCTCAGCAGGTACAGGTAGAGAGGGAGCTTTAAGGGGACTGTGCACTTCTCAGTGTGGTTCAAAGAGATGGCTTCTTCATGCTGTTGTGGGTATTTCCATGAGAAGACAGCGAGTTTTGAATTCTCAATAGTTTTGGAACCATTGGTGGTTTTATACTAAGTGGACTGATTATTGTTTTCAGGCTGAGCTAGAGTCCCAAAAGATAACTTGTTCGGGAAGTTTAGCTGGCAACTTAATTTCTTTCTTTTACCCAATCAACTTAATGCTGCCACAACTCTATCAGAAAGCACAGAGACCCATGGGCTTGGGAAAAAGTGTCTAAAGAAAAAAGAGGAAAAAAATAAAATAGAATAGAATAAAAGGACAGGGGGAGAGAGGGAGAGAAAAAATGGATGTAGAATTTAGAAGAGGAAGATTGGGCGAATTCAGGCATCTGAACAGAATCGGCTTTGGTTTTGGCCAATAATAATTATCCCACCATCGTAAGTTTACACAGCTTCTCATTAGCAAGGAATCCAGTTTTGAAAATCTAGGTAACCCATACAAATTTCCAACAAAATAGGCTTTGAGGTTCATCTACACACACACACACAGAAGGAGAAAAGGAGAAGAAGAAGGAAAAAGAGAACAGGAAGATGACGACAACCAAAGCAAACAAAATTAAGTTATTCAAACAAAACCCCAGACTGTTTAAGTTAAGCTAAATTCTAGTTGAGGTAAGTATTCTTCATTCTTTCAGTAAAGAGCCAAAAAGCCAGTGGTGGGAGAACTGAAAAACTGGACAAGTCATACTGTCCACACAGAAGGTCAGCAGTGACACGAAGCTCAGCTCACAAGGCTTTTGTGTTGAACTGAGGGCCTCGGGGTAACCTCACTAGCAAATCTCTTTCATAAGCACCGATTTAATTTCATCAGCGCTTTTCTTTATGTTTCCTCTACTTTCAACATATATTGCCTTCATCATCTTGACTGGAAAAATCATAATTTCAACATGATGTGATTATGTCTTAGACATCTATCATGGCTATACAAGGGAGAATTTTACAAGCAAGTTATTTTTCTAAGGGAAATTTCAATTCTATCTGACTTATGAAAAATATATGTTCAGTGAAGGGAAGTAAAATTCAGTCATTACAATAGCTGTTGGAGTTAAAGCCATTGTGAACCTTATCTCTTTAAAACACAAAATGTTAAGTTTAGACTTTGGCGCTCCTCAGCATTTATTACCAGCCTATTATGCTTAGTAGTATTTAACACCTTAGTACATCGGTCTCTTTCAGATCAAATGCCTCAACAACTTCTCAAACTAATTTTCTGTAATTCAAGATGATGGGCCATCTCAAATTTGACAAATAATTTCCACATTCTGAGTGCTTAAGAAATGCCAGTGTGATAAATAGCTAGGGATCTGTGGAATGTAGCTGTGTTCTTGGCACACCAGCATCTTACCTCCTGCCGCAGGACTCTTCCTACAAAAGGATAGGTCCTGTTGAGAGCAGAAGGTGGGAGAATCTCTCTAACCCTCTTCTCCCTAACCAAATTACCCATATAGGTCAGCTGTCTGCTGTGACGTCATCTCTACCTAGAGGCAAGCAGAGAAAGAGTCCTGTCAGCCGCACTTCAGGCATTCCTGCCTGCTCCTTCAACTGTAGCAGAGCAGTAAGGAGAGCGTCCCCACAGTGCTTCAAGTCTATGGGCACTCTGGGCAGTAGAGATAGCACACTGTCCAACCCATCTGCTTATTAACATACTTCACTGCCTTCAACACTTCTCTTTCATCTAGACAGCTTGAAACTACCAATAAATGTTGTACTATAAACAGGTGACATACAAATGCTCTTTTGGCCAGAAAACAAAACAAACATACCAAACGTAGCTCCCAGAGGTAGAATCAGAAAAATCAAAACAGAGACCAACAAAAGGATTACAAATAATGTAGAAGAGTACAATTTCTTGAAACATAAACTATTAAGATTCATTTGATAACTGCTCTAAAACTTAAATTGAGAATACAAAAGTTAACTAAGTATTGTTTTTTGGCATCAAAGTTTTCAAAACACTGCATCCTAATTGATGAAGAATCTATGAAAAAATAGAAATAAACCTTAAAGGAAATCTCATAAGTCAACTTTTCAAACACATTCACTTAGACATGTTATTTCTTTAATAACTTTCAAACAACTTTAAAACGACAAAGATATTCTACAAATATCTTTTGTATAAGTACTTTTCTTATGAAAAATACTCACTTAGCCAAATCTATTTTAACAACCAAGGTTTGCTAAAAATTTGAGAAAATGAGTGCTTGATATTTGAACACTTAAAAAAATCATAATCAAATTAAAATGCAGAAAGCAAAAATAAGATATAGTAAACATGAAACATCAAACCAGTTTTTGCAAAGTTAAAACAAAAATTACATTTATGAATATGACAAAAAAGCACTATAGGGAAGAAGGTCTGTAAACACATTTTCCATCAGTATAAAAAAGAATGCTACTTACCAACCATTGCACTAACTTCCCCAGCCATTAGTGTTTCTACAGTCTCGTTGTATAGGTTCACATCGATGATACCTTTTCGAATGGTCTCTCCTACTTTGGCTCCCAATAACACTGAGCCCGTGGTTTCAAAAATTGAAGCCAAAATGCACGCCTGCCTCAAGGTTACCACGCCAGAGCCCACAGCAGTACCAAATGAATTGGCAACATCATTTGCACCAACAGAAAATGCCAGGATAAAAGCTATGATAAAACCCAAAATGACCATCCACAAATACTCAGTCATGGCCATTTTGGAAAGTGGGCTCTGGGTACTTTTCTTTTGCAGAAATATTTTAAATAAACAAAGCTTGAGGTTATAAACGTCGTAAGGCCGAGAGTTCCTGTAAACAGTGAGTTTGCTCTGGAAAGTGCTGGACAATGTTAGAGCCTGAACAAACTGCTAACTGCTGGTTTTCAAACTACTGTCAGTACAGTTCATTTGGTTGTGTTCAGTCAGCGGTAAAACACATTCCATATTTTTCCTCCCAATCTGGGAAAGCTGTGATGTCTCCTCCTGTAACAGAAAGAAAACAAAAGAAATCAATTACCCTAAGCAACCTGTAACAGTTTGTTCTTTCAGAAATAAATGTTTTAAGCCTACTAATGGGATCTAACATTGGCATGTGACAGATCTAACCACGAAGCAACTCAATGAAGATTATAATTAGGTTAGCTACCCCCCACCCCCCTCTCTCCCCCCTGCAAAAAAAAAGCTGGTTTCTAGAATGCCAGAGATTGGCGCATGCTTTGTAATTACAAAAGTGATAGTAAGCCTTAATAAGATACATTTTTATGCAATTTGAAAAATATATTCGGTCATTATTTTCAGAAAGAAAAAATTGCCTCAAATGAACAAAAGATAAATGAGAAATTCAATCAGAGTTATAGAGTTTTTCAAATATGTGGAATATGCCAAATTTCTTGGAACAGGGATTACCAAATCGGATCCAGTGACACCGCAGGGTGTGGCTAATTATCTACCTGCACATTTGCACATAAGGAATAAGCACTTTACATTATGACTACATCATGTGTGTCTGAAAGGAAGTTCACAGGTTCTGGTACAAAGTGACTCATCCAGAGGGTGACAAAGGTGGGAGCTGATGGTCCTTGCAAAAGACAGAAAGCTAGAGAATGAAGCCACCCTATTAAAGCACGAGTCAGATCATGACACTATTCCACTACTTCCCATCTCACTTAGAGGAAAAGCCAGAGGCCTCACCATGGCCTGTAAGACCCTCCAAGATCTCCTCACAGCCCCGCCCCAGCTCACTGACCTCAGCTCCTGTTCACCCCCTTCCCTCATTGGCTCCTTCCTTCTCCTTGCAAACACCAAGCACTCACCTCAGGGCCTTTGTATCTGCTGACCTTGCCAGGAAAAATCTCCCGGACAGCTGCACAGGTCACTCCTCTCTCTGTTTAGGTCCCTGCTCAAATGTCACCATCAGAGAGCCTTCCCTGACCTTGTTAAAGAGCAGCCTCTTGCCCATGCCATTATCCATCCTTCTCACCTTACTTTTTTTTTTTCTACTTATCACCTCATTCATCCATTCACTCATTCTTGTCTGTTTTCTCACTAAGATACCGGGACTTTGCTAGATTCACCATTGTATCTCCAGCATATAGAACAGCATCTGGCATGTGGTAAGCTTTAATACATTTGTTGAATAAATGAAGAAGCTATTAAACAAACGGAGAAAAGTTTTGCATATTCCTCATTTTGGGATGAAAAAGAAATGTCACAAAATTAATATATCTGTGAAGTAAAAATGTCACAAAGAAAAAAAAATACTGCTTAAGGCATAACATTTGGTGCTGAAAATAAAGTTTTGGGCCAGCCAAGTGGCCAAGTGGCTCAGTTGGTTAAGAGCTCGCTCAAGAGTGCGAGCTCTGAGAAACAGCGGTTTGAGTCTCGGCCTGAGCTGAGCTGCTGCTGACCTGCTGCTGAGCTGCCAACAAGTGGCAGGATGGCTCAGCTAAAAAAAAGAAAAAAAATTCACAAAGACCTTTGAAACTACAGTGTTCTATTAATATTATTATATAGTACCAAATCTGTATATTTTGCTTGAATGGTATAAGGTACATAGAAAGGTGCCTAGCACAGTAAGGTTCTTAATAAATGGTTATTGAATAAATTATGCACATATACAATATAATGATCTATCAATATTAAGGTTACATCAGGGAATAAAAGGAAACAAAATTTTATGTGCATTGTGATTATGGCAATGTTAAAAATGCATATAATGGGGCCAGCCAATTGGCTCAGTTGGTAAGAACGCAAGCTCTAAGCAGCAGGACACCGGTTCGGTTCCCACATGTGCCAGTGACGCTGCGCCCTCTACAGCTAAGATTGTGAGCAACAGCTCGACCTGGAGCTGGGCTGCTGTGAGTGGCTGGTGATGGTGTAGGTTGCAGTAGGGCTACAGTGGGCTGCCGTGAGCTACCGTGAGTGGCCAGCAGCCAGCAGCCAGAATGAGCGGCCAGCAGTAGGCGTGAGCTGCCGTGAGCCGCAGTGAGGTGAGCGGCCTTCCACTGGCCGGCGACCTATCTGCTTCACCCCGGAAGAGCACAATGACAATACCAACATGGGCCAGTGAAGCGACGTCCTCCACAACTAGACTGAAGAACCAAAGGGCAGCAACTTGTCTGTTCCTCTTCCCCAATTCCCCAATGCTGTTCCCCTCCCCCAATTCCCCAATAAAATCTTTTTTTAAAAAATGCATATAAAGACTAATAGGTAATAATATACTAACAGTATAACAGTGGTTGAGTTTGAGTGATAGTGTCAGAGGATATTTTCCTTTTCTCCAAAAACTGTATACTATGGTCATTTGCTTTTCAAATTAAAATAATATATAATCAACAAAATAAACATATAGTGAGCACCACCTATATAGGCAATGACATAATCGTACAATGAAATACAAAATGTACACTGGTAGATCTGACCATTTTCCGAGATTTGTAGCCTCTGCAATTCTGGAGATTCAGATCTAAGTGAGACACATGAAAAGACCACTCTAAAGGCAAAAGGCAATATTACATGGAAAGAATGCTTTATTCATCTAACAGGCACATTAAGTCAATAAATGAAAATATAAAATACAAAATATTTTGGACCAATGGTATCTACTTTAAAACACAAAGAATTCTGGAGGAAATCTTGTTTGTCAGGTTAGGTTGCCACCAGGGCAAACACAAACCACATTCAACAAATATTTATTGAGAACTTCCTTTGTGACAGTCACGAGGAATGTAATGATAGTAAGCCTTAATAATAATGGATGCGGGCCTGGCACATATAGGGGCTTCCAGTACAGTGAAGGAAACAGACACTAATCAAATGATAATGTATGACCATAAACTATGAAATGTGCTACAAAGAAGTTGGCACGTACCACACAGCATCATCAGAGCAGACTGGAGGCAGGAAGGGCTCACCTGAAACCTAAGGACGGTGGGATTGACTCTGGGACTCCAGGAGGCATTCCAGGCATTCCCCAGGTGGGAAGGAGCAGAGTGAGGAGAGGAGACGCAGCAGGCCAGTGTGAGGAAATCACGGTGCAAGTTGGGGTGGCCATATAAAGACTATGGCCACCATGCGAACATTGGGGTGCCGCTGAAGGGTTTTAATGGGGGGGAGGGTTGCTGCCATGATTATATTTTCATTTTTGAAAGATCATTCTGGCTGCAGTGTGAACAATGGACTGGATAGAAGGCAAGAGTGAATGTGGAGAGACTACTGCATGGTTCAGGCACAAGAGGAGGTCTCCTGGACCAGGTTGGTGGTGGTGGTGATGAAGGGAAGAAAAATTATTTCAGGAAGTATTTCACTGAATAAAGTCAATAGAACTTGGTGAAGGTTTGTACATGGGTGTTTACGGGGGATAGGTGGTTATGAACTTACAGAACTGGACTGAAAAAGAACTGAGTGGGTTTTTACTTCTCTTTTGCATTATTTTTAAGTATTAGGATGGGGTTTGACCACAGGTTTGCTTCGGACATGCTGAACATAGAGGTAAATCACAGGAGAACAGAAGTGTGGCTGCTTGAGGCACCAGAGCAGGTGTGTCCTGGGCCCAGTTTTGCTTGGGGAGGGTTTTAATCATCTTTATAATTTCTGGGGCACCATTTCAGACTAGGGATCTCCTCTCCTACTTAGATAATTTTAGATAACTCATTTCCACAGTGTGTCTGTGTTCTTTAATTTGGCTTTTCTCCTTCACTTCATACCCTCAGTAAACAGCTCAAGTCCAATAAGCATCTATTTGAAGAGAAAGGTTTGTCACATTTTTGAGACCTAAATGATTTCTATCTTGCATTCTATATTTATAAGGCCTGTTTTGTATTGCAAGTACCAACACCTTGATTTTCTCCGCTTTCAATTAATTTTTATCAAACACAAGCAAAATCAAACAAAGCACTTTAACTATAAATCTGCTGCATATGAAAAGACGACAATGCTGCTGACGCCAAGCCATCCGGCAGGCCAGAGGACCACCACCCAGGAGGCCAGAATGGTGATTCGTCAAGAACGTAGAAAGCCCACATTCACAGTGGCTGCAGTCTGACCAGGTGGGACATCCGAGAGTGCTGGTTGTTTGAAAGTAGGATTTTGAAAGCGGGTGATCCAATCAGTGGGGAAAGGATGACCTGTTCAGTAAATAATGCTGGGAGAATCTGCTAACTATCTGAAAAGAAGCAAACAGTTACATAGCTATCTCACACCAAAATAAAGCATTCAGATGTAAAAATTGAAATTTAAAGAGAATAAGAAAAAACATGGGTAAATATTTACTTAATATGGGGTGAGGAAGCCTCCATAGGGCCTTGAAGGCAATTAATAAAAAGAATCCACACATCTGAGTTCACAAAAATCATGCAGTTGGGAGACAGAGGGGTCTGAAGCGTGGAAGCATCACACAGAATTCTGCTTCTCCTCCTCGGCAATGATTCTCAATAGAGGTACAAGGCTGCTTAGAATTTCCAGCTACTGCCTTGGTTCTTTCTAACTCTCCTGCAGGGCTTTTCTACAAGAGGTCATAACATGAAAGAGGGTTAAAACAAGCTTCCTAACGCTCTCTCCTTCCCCTCATATGAAAAAGCCCCTCTGTGGCCTGGGGTTCACAGGCCTGAAGGTCACAAGTTACTCCTCAATGTTCAAACACCACCGGCCTCTTGCATCTGAGGAACAGAGATCTCCGAGTGTTTGGAATTAGAGCAAGAGGTGCTGCAGGGGTTTCGTAAGTTCTGTCTCCCAAAGTTGTAATGTGAACAAGATCCTCATGTTCTTTTCTCAGTACCCTAATGCCTTTTGAACAAGGATCTCAACTTTCAGTTCTGCCTGCCATCACTTCCATTCCTTGATCTCTGAACCAGCTCTACTTCTATCACTGGCAGAAGGAGTGCCCTGACAGGGCTCTTAAGTGCTTATAGATTTCTTTCCTATAATTTCCTCTCTATGAGCATCTGCTTCAACTCTATCCTCTTATCCACATAGAAATCTGAATG